GTTCCTCTTCTCCTTTCGTATTAACTAGGCTTTATTCCGCCCTTAGTCGTAAAGATCTATATAGAATTAGAGAGTAGCTATAATTTAAGAGTATATAGTTCTTTTAAAGTCCTATACTTTAGAGACTATTAAAGATATTATAAGTATAGATATAATCGTAGGCCTATTATCTTAAGGTTTAAGGCCGCTATATAAATACTATATAGTAGACTACCTACCTAGCTAAAGTAGTAGCGTAGAGTATTAGTACACTATAGTAGTGCGCCGTAGTAGTATACTATATTAGTATACTATAGTAGTACACTATAAGGTAGAAAATCCCCTCTTATATTCTACGGAATTAAAAATTATATAGAGGTAGTATACTATATTAGTACGCTATAATAGTACACTATATTAGTAGGCTATAGTAGTATACTATAAAGTAGAAAATCCCCTCTCGTATTCTATAGAATTAAAAATTATATAGAGGTAGTACGCTATATTAGTACGCTATAATAGTATATCCTAGTAGTATACCCTATTAGTACACTATATTAGTACGCTATAATAGTATACTATAGTAGTAGTACACTATAAGATAGAAAATCCCCTCTCGTATTCTACGGAATTAAAAATTATATAGAGGTAGTGCGCTATATTAGTGCGCTATAGTAGTATATCTCGGTAGTGTACTATATTAGTGTACTATAGTAGTATATCTCGGTAGTGTACTATATTAGTGTACTATAGTAGTATATAGTAGTAGTATATAGTAGTAGTATATAGTAGTAATACGTAGTAGTATATAGCGGCTTTACGCTATATTAGTGCGTAGTAGTAGTACGTAGTAGTAGTACGTAGTGGTAGTGCGTAGTAGTAGTGCGTAGTATTCCGCTCTTAATAGGGAAATACTTAAGCTATTACTACGCCCGCGGCTTTATCCTAGATACCCTATAAAGTTAATAGGAGGCTAATAGCTATACGGATTATCTATAGCCTAAGTTTAGCTTCCTTAGCTCTTAAGCTAGACGTTTAAAACGTATGTCACGGTTATTCCTCTTTCGGTTAGACTATATCACGGTTATTCCGTTTTGGGAATTATGCCAAGCCGCTAAGCTTACTCTTTAGGCTCGAATATCTCGGCCACCACTAGTCCTATTAAGACAAGCTATATATCGTTAGACTCGTAAGAGCTAGGGGAGTCGACTAATATTAAAGGTATTACTATATAATCTATATATATATCCTACTTTTACTATGATTTGGCCTTATAGACTCGGATATCTATAGTAATAATCGTAATATTATTATCGCGTTATACCTCCTATACTTCCGTAAGTAAAGCCTATTCTATAGCCTATCGAGAGACTTCGAAGTAGTTAGGTTTACTTAGGGAGGGAATACTATAAGAGATTATCCTAGTATAGTATCTATTATTAGTAAGAAGGGCTAGATATATAGCTATCTTCTAATCTCTATAGTTAGACTATCCTTTTAGTTTTAGGACTAAACCTATATAGTTAATCTTATATCGACTAACGACGAAGTCCCTAATATTAAAGGACTCCGATATATTAGTAGTCTATATAGGGTTCGGCGGTTAATAGGAAAGTCGAACGGCTAATAAGGTTATATAGCGGTTAATAGAAGAGTCGAACGGCTGATAAGGTCTATTTAGTAGTTAATAAAGAAGTCGAACGGCTAATTAGATAATAGGATCTAGTATTCTACCCAGGTATTCGGATACTAGAGAGAAATTAGGATAACTATATAGGGTATATTAGGTAGCTAGGTAGGGTAGGGTATTATTAGGGTAACTAGTGAAAAGTCTATAAAAACACCTTATAGTGGGTCGGTATAACGTAGCACTAGGTTCTCGTCGGAGGAATCAGAAGATGCGAAGCTTATAGTTATGTAGAGGCTCCGATAGCAAAGGACTTATAACCTGATAGAGATAATCCTATACGACTACTCATAAAAAGGAGTGGACTAGAAAATCTTGTATTATGCGTGGAGAGAGAAAAGGAAGAAGAAGGAAAGCTAGCTAGACTAATGTACTAGGAGATCACCTGTTCGCAACACTTTCCTCAAAATGTTGAGGATGACCGACATAAGCTATCTAATAGTAGGGGTCGTCTGATCAGCAAGGGAAGAGAAATAGTATGCCGACTGGGTGTAGGAAGCAGCTAGACCATACTAGCCTAGCTGAGGGGGTGTGTCGGAGCATAAGATCGGCATACCGGAAGTTTAGTTTATCCTGTCCACGTAGTATTTTTAATATCAGTTAGAAAGTCATATTTCCTGCTAGAATAGTGGATATAGAAATATAGAGATTTTAACTCCCTTAATTAGACCCCTATTATACTAAATACCACGTTAGTTGACATAAAAAAGGAAGGCGGACTAGACCTCCGCACCAGCCCGCAAAGCCCAAAGCCTAACCCGCCCTAACCCGCAAATGGGCTAGGCTTTAGGCCCGGTCCCTAGGCCCATCGGTGGCTATTAGCCTAGGGTAGAAGCCCACTAGGCTTTTATAGGGGCCTAATAGGCTTTAAATAATATAAACATACTAATGCTTAGTAGATATATAAGTAATATAGATTTTTCTAGTATTTCTAGGTATTTAGATTACCCCCTAAATTGACTATAGGTGCCTGAATTAACTAAATTGACTAAATTGACTGAATTAACTAAATTGACTAAATTAACTGAATTGACTATAGATGAGATTATTAAAATTGAGATTTATAAAATTTAAGAAAAATGTAAATTAATAGAAAGATATACTGACTTCTCTCTATATAAAATATATATATTTGCATATTAATTCTCTGTTAACTATTGAACCCCCGTATTAGGCTAGATTAGGGCCGGCGCCGAGATCTTCCGCGGTAAGCATATAGACTCAAACATGTGTAAAGAACAGACATTAATTAGCAGGTTTATAAGCGCTAAGACTGTATTTATGTATATAAATGGGCTTAAATGGGGGCCTCATGGGCCCCCATAATGGGCCATGGGCTTGGTTGGGCTTCGAAGGTAGGGCCTATAGCCCACTGCTGGTTGGGCTATGGGCCTGAGGTCCGGGCCCAACCAGGCCCATTGCGGAGGTCTAAGGCGGACTACCCTGGTTGGCGGGATGGTCGCAAATTACTGCCGTAACTCTGCTATTCCTTCACTCTAGTTCTACATTACCTGCTAGGACCCGCTAGTACGCCGGTCCTAACATTATCTAGATCTTTAGACAATTCTACACTTTCATAAGAGATCCTACTTCCAGCATCATTTGAACCCATTGTTGAACCCTACATGCTGAATCATACCTCTGTACCTTCAACAAATTTAACTCAAATGAACTACTCTCTATACCCTCTTATTCACTACGGCAGTTAGTAAACTAGCAGATGCTATTGCTGAAACGACCCGTGCACTTAAGAGTGCACTACCATCGAGTGTTGCCTTCTTCAATATATATCTGTTCTATTGTGGATACGAAGTCGCAGCCTAAGCTAAGCTTTTATAGAGGCGCGCCTTTAGTGACCCGTTCTTTTGTACGGAGTACTCCGTACGGAGTACACAGTAACCAATATAACATGTATCTATTCTCTCCATCCACTGGATATTTGGTATATACCGGATCGGTTCGCGCTAGCACTTCCCAGCAATAATCCTCTATGTATTTGTCGTGTCTCTCTCAGTCCATAGCTTCCTAGTTTAGTCTTCTTCCTCAATCAACAACTTCATGATGCACTTCGATGTCTCTCTCAACACTAGACTCTGACAGTATTGTACATCAATATCACAGTGGTCGGTACCTTGTAGAAAGCGCGCAGTTTTTCGGTTTACAAACGTCTATACAGTGTACGAATTCCTCCGTACTCGAGATTTACCTACTCGGAAAAGTGTTTCATATCGCCAGAATGATAGCTAAGGGATGGTGAAAGTGGGTCTTATCGCCCGCTAGCCGCGGATGATATGGATCAGCGCGAACAAGCCCAAAGTCCTGGCGAAATCTTTGAGTTGTCATTCAATAGATATGCGGCTGAATCGTTTCAAATGCCATGGTTCCTTGGGCTATTATTATTTCACTACAATTTGCACCAGCCTTTGAGCCCAAATATCATGGTGTGGCGAGGCATTTATCGCTGTGATCTCTTCAATCGCACCTTGTAGGGGTGCCTGAGACTGAATTTCTAGTAGGCAGGGTTATTCATGCGCCAAGTAGGTTTAGTACGTCAGTCCTGCCATATATGTGAATAATCATATTCAGGGATGCGATCGGCGGCCAGCTAGTAGAATTCTAGTGCATCCTAACCACCGAAGTGACCCAGTGTCGATCAAGGATCTCCCGTAATCGACGGAGTGGTTGCCTATGGACAAATAGTTTGCGGGAAATGCAGGCGCAATGCCAAAATGGTTCTATCTTCATGATCACGTTGCGTGACGGCTGTGGCGTTTGGTTGATCGGCAGGGTCCTGGATCTAGGGAGCTAAAGACGATCATCCACAAAGTCGCAATAATTGGCTGGCATGTGGGGCCAATGTCGAGAACGAAAATCATTATACGGAGTATAAGATGTATAAGTCGAATGGCCATACGGAGTACTCTATATGATTCCTATACATGATACTTGCCTCTATTCTGATCGGATCTCGTTTCAACCCCTGCTCTATAGATGTAAAAAGGGGAAACGTTGAGAGTTTGATCGACAGGCCCGGACCCATCTAGTCACAAGCTACTAAATGTAGTTACGTGCGGGTTTGACGTACACTCTAGCAAGGGATCGGATCTTGGAATGCCCTGCAATGACATGTACACTAAGCTTATATAGAAGGTCAGTTTCATATCTACAAGGCCTCAATCTCATCACCTAGCTTCTTTCCTCATCCACTCCTTCGATACGATTATTCACTCCCTAATATTGTAAATGACGCTCATTAAATCTCTTTTCCGAACGTCCACCCTCATTTGAAACAATCATAAGCGTCGTGATTTACCAAAACCACCAGAATCCAACCATGAGAGATCAAAGCAAGCCCCAGGAAACAAGCATCGATGTGCTGCCCTCTGGATCTTCGTCATCGAACAGTGCATCAAACGCCAGCTTGCTGAAGATAGTGGACTGGAATGGCCCCGACGACCCCGAAAAGCCAATAAACTGGCCTCGAAGCAAGAAGAACAAAATCCTTGGCGCAGTGTGTCTAATGCGTTTCACTACGTATGGCAGGTTCCTACAGAGATTTCTGCACGCGATTGAGATAGCTAACTCTTCTTCCCCAGTCCACTTGCATCGTCTATGATGGCTCCCGCATTGTTGCAGATAGAAGCCGAGTTTGAAGGCACATCATCAATGGTCATGAACTTTGCGTTGTCTATCTATGTAGGGCTTTCAATGATCCATATTCTATCTCATTGTAACTTTTTTCTGACTGGCCTATATCGTTTTTAGATTATTGGATTCGGAATAGGACCACTTATACTGGCGCCCCTCTCGGAAATCTACGGTCGCAACAAAATCTACCATGGTGGCAATGTGTTATTTACAATCTGCACAGCATGCTGTGGGGTTGCGCCAAATGCTACTTCATTCCTCATCTTTCGATTCCTTTCTGGTCTTATGGGCGGTGGCCCATTGACAAACGGCGGTGGGACTGTTGCGGATCTGATCCCTGTCCATGAGCGCGGGTTGTAAGTCACATATTCCTAAATATAAACCACTATTGGTGCTGAACAGTGGTGACTAATTGTTCTGTGGTTGTCATCTAGCATAATGAGCGTCTTTAGTCTCAGCATGCTGTTGGCTCCTATCCTAGGGCCTGTGGGTGGTGGATTTCTTTCTGAAGCGGTCGACTGGCGATGGATTTTCTGGCTGCTGACTATTATGGTATGTTATATCGCAGCAAGCAGGTTAGACCAGAGCTCTGATTGTATTGTGTCGTGATTTAGAGTGGTATCACTGCTATTGTCGGCTTTGTCTTTCTACGCGAAACCTACGGTCCAACACTACTTGAGCAAAAGGCTGCCGAGCTACGCAAACAAAGCGGAGATCCCAATATCCAATCTGCAAGCAAGTCGCCGCTACCACTGCAGAAACTACTTGTCCTGGCTATTATGCGTCCGCTGCGGCTTCTCTGCACTAGCCCGGTGAGCATTGCTATGGCACTTTATATGGGCCTTATCTTCGGCATCATATACCTGTTGTTCACCTCATACACCGTGGTCTTTCAAGAGCGATACGGCTTTAGCCAAGGCCTTGCTGGGCTCACTTATCTTGGAATGGGACTAGGATGTACTACGCAACTGTTTCTGGGCCATTGCAGTGACAAAATTCATACCAAACTGACTGAGCGTCACGGTGTGGAAAGGCCTGAGTAGGTTGACCTGCACCACATTTCATGCCTGGTTGAGAAGTGCTAATTTGAGGATATCTAGATACCATCTTCTTATGTTAATCCCTGCTGCGATATCATTGCCAATTGGGCTCGTAATCTACGGCTGGACAGCTCAGTATCACGTTCACTGGATTGTGCCACTAATTGGAACGTTTTTCATTGGTGTTGGCTTCTCAAGCTCAATGGTGAGATGAATGCTTAACAATTCAACGGCTCTTTTGTGCTTATGCTAACTGGAACCGGTTTGCCTGTCCAGACTAGCGTGCAGACATATTTGATTGGTGCTTTCACCGCATACTCTGCAAGCGCTCTCGCCGCGAACAACGTCGTGCGTAGCCTGATCGGCGGTGTGGTGCCTCTTTCAGGCCCCGAAATGTATGGAAAGCTGGGTCTCGGCTGGGGGAATACCATGTTGGCTCTGTTGGCTCTGGTGTTTGGGCTCGCTCCACTATGGTTCTATCGGTCTAAGGCACCGCGAAATAGGACCAAAACCTCGCCCGTTTGATATATTTGTCTAGCCCTGTTTGGAAATCGATCCTACATGGCTCTAAAAGAATTGCAAGAATATTCCGTAGTGGAAACCACGAGAGAGAGAGAGGCAAAAGAATCATGGACTTCGGGACCATCTAAGTCGATGATGCTGACCCGAGACACCACACATCATAGCAAACCATCACTAGACATGAAGTCTAGCTAGTAAGTATCAACTGCTTTCATCTATTTCCATGCAATGAATCGGCTCATTTCTCAAATTTTTCTACCTTTCTTTCGTAGTACACCGATAACAGAAACTCTGAACACCTCCTTTAGGCCTGAGTAATCTGACGTTTTTCTGCATACTTTAGGTACGAATGAAGTCGCGTAAAAAGGACCATCTCTGAATTTTATGCATAATCCTCCTTTCATTTAAGGGTCGTTATGAACGCATTCATTATCTGTGGAGCACTACAGTAAAAAGTGGAGGAGGGAGAGAGTTGTATTAGGAAGAGAGACAAGAGCTGCCGACTTATAGATATACGAGGGTAGATGTGTGATGAACCAAGCCACCTTGTGTATTGATACTATGTTTCAACATTGAATTAAGTATAGAGGAAGAATCTAAAATGGGTTATTACGGAAACGTAGGGAAAATATATTGTAGGGCTTCGTGGAGATGAAGACCACATCCGCCTCAAGTCAACAACGTTGAAATTGCTGAAAAGATCCACGATCACTGCATATGTCGATTTTTTGGCCGACTACAATTCTAACGAACAAATTGGTTTTTGATTTTTTATTCTTCTCATAATCGGAGCGATAAGTGTGTTCCTATTATAATGAGTTGAAGTTCCACAAATAATATACACATAGTGATACGATATGCTCGAAGGCTTTTTACAGCTATCAAAGGGCCACTATCGCTGGTCTTAACTCCACTTCAAGTGAAGAAAGGCAACATGAAAGAGGTGGTATTATTATATAGTCTGATCATAAACTGCCTGTAACAGGATCAGTCATTTATTAGCAGGCGTGGCATTTGCCGTATATCTATATCCTTGTGATTTGAAGGGTATCCAGATATTCCGCATTCGAGGCTAGCCGAACCCATATCACGCCTTACACAAGTATCAGTTCGCGGAAAAACTCACAGAAATACGATATTTGAGGTATTCGTACGCGAGTTAGAGCCCAAGTTTGATCAGCGCGTACGGCGTTTGAGTTGGGCCACGAAGGCCATGAACGGGAGCATATACCAAGAAAGCCGATTCTCAGAGTCAGATTGATTCGATTCGCGGGTGCAATTAGGCGTTTAAGAAGAAGCACCAAGATAGAATCCATTTCATTTGCAGTCAGTGGTATAGATTGGCTATAAGCTGTGGTTCACTGATACATAGTCGCTGCTAAGTGGGAACTCCACCCTCACCTCTTCCCCTGAATACCCTCATTGATCCTGATTCCCAACAGGTATAGTAGTCTTAATCAACCTAGGGAGCAGAACTTGCCCATCTGAAGCCCTGCGTAGATACTCGCCCAACAATCGACTCATTCCTACTTCTTCGGCCGAAGTCACCCACTCTGCGAGGGGAACTGCTTTGAACTGTTGACCAGTCCCCGATTCCATCAAAGGAATAATCTCATCTCGTCCAACTATTATCTCCCCAGACTCATAGAGGTATCTCACAGAGCGTGCCGGTGGCTCGGTTCCTCTTTGATCAGATTGGTGAACGGCTTCAAGAAGCTGACTTGCCACGGACTGTACAGAAATGAGGTCAAAGACCCCAGTCCATAGATTGGAATCGGGCACTTTCTGTGTTTCTCTGGTATAGCGAATGACGTTGCCCATGAGATCAAGTTCCGGTGCATCAGTGCCAGTGATACTAGACGGGCGGTGAATCCATACTGGGAGACCAGACTGGCGGTTGACATTCTCGAGATATACCTCGCTGACCCACTTCGCAGCAATGTACCCATCTAATGGTGGGGAAGGGGGCGGGAACGATGCCACAGATATCTCCCCAAAGCTTTCCTGGGCAGCAAGACGCGCAACACCGGCCGAGGAGACAAAATGAAAGGGAATGCGCCGGGGCAATGCAAGCTTGACAAGTTCTTTGGTAGATGCCACATTTATGAGCTTGAGAGTCTGGTATGTCTTCATGAACGACACATCTGCACCATTGTGGATGACGATATCTGCGTGCGCAAATATCCGTGAAGCGTCAGGTTCCGAGAGTCCTAGCAGCGGAGCTCCTAGATCACCAGAATGCACATGGACCTTTGAATGGGCGAATAGTTTAGGGAGATCTGAATGGCTTTTTCTGATGGCAACACAGTGAATAGATTCGACCATTTCGTCGTCAATGAGCCCCCGGAGGATTTCTCTGCCAAGGAAGCCCGTTGCCCCAGTAAGCACCACAATGCCGACTCCCGATGCCACAGTGTGGTCACCGTGGTAATTCGACAGCGCAGCTAGGTCGGGTGTGACTTTGGTTTCCGTGTTCCAATCCACATCCAGTTGAAGAGTCGGACGGGACACGCCCTGGATGATCGTAGACATTCGGCGGAGCGTGCTTGCTTCGAAGAGTTGATACAATGGCATGGACACACCGAAGTGATCCTTAATCAGAGCTTGTAGACTAACAAGGGCAAGCGATGAGCCGCCAATGTGAAAGAAGTCGGATTGGGCATCAATTGAATGAAAGTCGGCGATTTCACGGGGTAGCGCTTGTTGCCAAAGCTGGCGCAATGTCTTCTCACATGTGGTGAGTTGTTTGTCATCGGACAGCTGGGATGGAGTCGAAGGGATGGGAATCGTGTCAACTGCAACTCGGTCTATCTTGCCTGATGCATTTTGGGGAATATCCTCGACCGGTATCATAGCAGCTGGTCGCATATGCACCGGCAGCGGCAGCTCCTGAGAAAGGCGATTGAGGAGCAGAAGGACATTTCCAGGGGTTTCCGTAGAAGTCATCACCACGAACGCAACAATGAATTGATCGCCACCATCTGGCTTTAAGCTTGAACGGACGGACGCCACAGCCTGGGTAATAGTTCCACCAGAAGAGTCGATGATGGCCATTTCGATTTCCTCGATATTGATCCGAATTCCTCTCAATTTGATTTGGTTGTCACCTTTCATGCGCCCAAGGAGAACAAGACCCCCATCACGATTGAGCTTTCCGAAGTCCCCAGTTCGGTGGATTGCTGTCCAGTTGTTCTCTTGAAAATATTGGCTTGCATGATGGTCATACGAGAAGCGCTCACTTGTTTTTGTATCGTCAAGATAGCCCTGAGCAACCCCTGCACCTCCGATGACCACTTCACCAGGGACTCCGAAGGGAACGGGGTTCAGATTTTGGTCGACAATGTAGACAGAATAATTTGGCAGAGTATACAGAGCTTTCGGAGGCGGTTGGAAATCCACATCCGCCGGACTATATGGAACTTCAGTGCTGGAGCATGCAACGCTAATCTCCGCTGGACCGTAAGCATTGATCAATTTGAGGTTCGGCCGCTGGAGCTTTTGAATTTCCCTGATGAGTACGCTGGGCAAAGGTTCACCACCGCATACCGCAGTTGTCAAGCAAGAGTTGTTCAGATGGTGGCGACCATGATGGAACCAGGCAAGATATTCCGTCGGGGTTGCAAGGGTGCATGTCACGCTTTCTGATGCGATAAGTTTTGTAAGTGCGACAGGATCACGTCGCGTGCGATCAGATGCGATCAGAAGGGTGGCACCACAGCAGAGCGAGGCCATGATTTGCCATAGAGACGCATCCCACGCATATGATGACTGATGCAAAATCGTCTCATCGCCCTGTTTCAGATTCCATATTGTAGTAGATGACTGAACATGATGAGCATACGCCGAATGTGGAATCATGATTCCCTTGGGAACACCGGTCGATCCACTGGTATACATGATGATAGCGGTCTGGGTTGGGACTGCCTTGTTTGAAACCGGGCGCGCATCGGGGCTGCGTAGGCCACCAACATCAATAGGTTGGGCCGTAGTATGCAAAAGACCATAGTCAGGCATTGTACTTGCATCGAGCAATACAACAGGTGCCTTCGTTTCCTCCATGATCATCGCGAGCCTGCTCGTCCCAACCCTTTTGTCCAGTGGAATATATGCACCGCCAGTGCGCAGGATAGCTATGAGAGAACATATCCAGTCTGCACCGGGTGACTGGAAGATCCCAACTCGTGTCCCGATGCCAAACCCGTGATTTAAGAGCTCATTGGCGATCACATTGATCCTACGCTGGGCTTCAGCATAGGTCAGCGAGCTTCCGCCCTCGTTCTTCAATGCAACTCGATTTGGATACCGCAGAGCAACCTCGTCTAGACGATGGATTATAGTCATAGGCCATTCTGCTCGAAGCTCGGGTCCTGTGTGGCGCAAAATTTAGTGAAAGTCTTCGCCATTAGAAAAGAATACAGAACTTGCCTCTTCCAGCAACAACAGCCTCCTCGGCGTCGGTTTTGGAATGTAACTCCGGCCAGCTGACCCGCGTAGCAGGGTTTTGAATGAAAGCTTTCAAAAGATTGGAATATGACCGAAGCAGAATTTCAGCATGCTCCATTCCATACAAGCTTTTCTGAACAGACAGGTGAACCAATGTTTCCCCAGCACCAACGTTACCAACATCTAGACTGAGATCGAAAGACGTTTCACCTCCACCCAAGAGCGCTCCATCGGTTACACAGCCACAAAAGCTTCGTGACTGCTCGATCTTAGGTCGATAGTTGAAGAACGCTTGACACAGGGGATTGTGGGACGCAGATCGCGGAACATTAAGTTCCGTTAAAATCACATCAAATGGCACGCGAGAGTGGCCAAATGCGGCTTGTGTAATGCTCCGAACTCCCTTTAGCGATTCGCCAAAGGATTGGCTAGGTTGCTGAGCAAATTTCACAGGGAGAAGGTTAAGAAAGAGCCCCATGCTCCGAAGAATGTCGGAATCTGTACGGTTCCCATCCCCTAGGCCGATGCAAATGTCTTCTAAAGCGAAGAAACGGAGCAGTAGGATTTGCCATACTGCCAAATGAAAGTGAAAGGGGGTCGACTTGAACATCCGGGAACACCGGTCAATCGAATCCGAGATACCCTCATCGAGGCGGATCTGAGTGGTATGGGAGCCAAACTGAGCAACCTTGGGACGCGAAGGCTGCAGGGAGAATGCTAGAAGAGGTATTGTGGGTGGGATTTGCACATATTGTGCTCTCCAGTAGTTCAGATCCTCGTCCCAGGCGCCTTCCTCGTGTTCACGAAGTTGACGGAGCGTAAAGTCGGGATATTGTAGCCCATCTTGAGAGAGGAGTTGACCTTGATATGCCTTTTCAATGTCCGACCAAAAGACCTCGAAACTAATGCCATCCATGTTGATGTGATGGAAGCCGAATAAAATCCAGTGTCTTTCCGGACTGAGAGACAGCAGTTGAACGCGCATAATCTCGCCGTCGGCCAAATTGAAAGCATGTTCCTTCATTTGTCGCGAGGCGTCTTCGACTTCTCCTTCATCCGAGATTTCAACGTGTTCCAAGCGCAGCGTTGATTTTGTCCAAACACCTTGCATGTGATTTTGCTCATTGTCAGTGAAGAAGAACGTTCGCAGGGCTTCGTGATGCTGTCCCACGGCTTGTATTGCCTTTGCGAAATCGTCAATTCTCAGACGACCACACAGTTCGAACGTCGGTGTGATGTTAAACGCGGTCTTGTCTTCCACCATGTGTTCTAGAAACCAGAAGCGCGACTGCCCATATGACATCGGCACCGATCTTTGAAGTTCGCGTTTTGGGCAGTGTGTCTCAATGTCATCAGTGAAAACGGATGAAGAAGAATCAGGGTCGTTTTCGGAATTAGAATCCCCAGTGTTAATAGAAGTCGCAGAACTGCCACTATATGCATTGCTTGCGTCTGGAAGGGCATACTTGAAGTCTGCAGACTCGTTTCTTGTTTCTGAAGCAATGTCATCCACAGTGGGACTGGTCACCACCAAGCGGCCATTGGGTTGCTCAGGACCTGGGTCTACGGCCTCTTCTCCAGCAGTCAGATTAGGAATTAAGCCCTCAGGAAGAACATCTGCTGCACTAGCTAATAGTTCGCGGATCGACGCAGCATTGAAAATTTTCAATACTGGCATGTCCACTCCCAATTCTTTGAGGAACCAAGAGCGAAGGTCAACAGCGACCAATGAGTCAACACCAAGCTCGTCTGGGCTCATATCCAACATTGGCTTGGTGGGATCAGCCTGAAGGGCCGATTGAAGCTTTAAAACAAAACCATCTGAGGAAAGAGATTAGTGAGAGCTTGGATGAATGCTTAGGAAATCTATACCTTGGAGAATCTCGATGACTTCGTCTTTTGACGTTGCCTCGAAGAGACGCGTTTTGACTAGCACCCCGGACTTTCCTTTCTTGTCTACGACGACCAGATTGCTCGATTTGTAAACCAAGTGTTGGAACATTGGGTTAGAAACCCAACTCTTTGACTCGTCATCGTCAATTCTGAGCCCACAGCACAGTTCAGCGCTTCCTCTGCGATCCAAACAGGTGAGAACGCCTTCGGCAAAGACCTCATGGAAGTCTTGTTCGGACATCCACGAATGACCAACCCGATAAAGATACGATTGTTGGCCCATGTTCAACTCTCGAGTAACATACCCATTACCAACAATCGCGCCGATATTGATCGCATGGCCTGCCAGGCCACGATTTCGGCGCTGTGCTGCCAGGCTTGCCATGAACATGTTGGCAGCATTATAAGCAGCTTGTCCAGGATTTCCTGTCATAGCAGCCATTGATGAGAAGAATACCATAAACTCTAATGTATCCTTTGGGAAGAGTTCATCCAACAAGATACTGCCCTCAACTTTCGGGTCAAGAACCTTCTTAAGTCGAGGCAGATCTAGATCAATGAACATTGTGTCCTGTAGAACCATTGCACCTTGTGCAACACCTGCGATAGGGGGCATAGTTTCACTGATATGGCGGTGGGTTGCTTGGACTGATTCGCGATTTGTTATATCACTAGACAGGTGAGATAAGAATTAGTAGGTGAGGTGTAACCAAAGAAAACTTAGGAAACTCCTACTTAGAGAAGACTCGGACAGTACAGCCATTTGTAGCCATCCTCTGCAGCCATTGATCATCGATGTTCGGGTTCCGACTGGATAGGGCAATATATCGTGCGCCTTGCCTCATCATCCACTGACAAAGTGACAGGCCGAGCCCGCCAGTCAGTCCAACAAGCCAGTAGGTTTTGTCCTTTGAGAACTTGATCTGTTTGGTGGCCGGGCGAACTTGAACCGGAAGTCGTGGTTGACCCCATGCAACAAGGGATTGCTCTGCCGAGGGTTTTGAGGCGTGGATAAGGTCGTGAAGGCCAACAGGCACAAACTTATGGCTATTAACCGGCATGAGGTCATATTGCACCTTTGTCCAACAGGTTTGGAAGTTGGTGGCCAATTGACCCCTGTCTGAGTCGTACGGGGATTGTGAGCAGTTTTCAGTCAGTGTAGCCTCGCTTTCAAACTGAGAATTAGGGGGCAAACATGTTTTGAGAACCGACAGTACAGCAGACTCGCCACCCATGTTGACAAGCCGGGAAATATTGCGAGGCAGCTTGGTCAGTATTTCCCGTCGGGTCGAGTTTGGATGAATGCGGATCCATGGCCATGAGCACTGTCCCTCTTTTGTTGTCAAAAGCACGAGCTGCACACCTTTCTCGTTTGCGTATTTTGTAAGAACCGGGAAGAAAGAAAAGTCAGGGTCCAACACAGCGAGCGTCTTCCCGGATTGGAGTTGCTGTAACATAGAGAGAGCCAGAAAATGAGAATACAAAGTTAACATCGACCGAATTCCTAGCTCGTCAGAGTCACCGCAACGCACGGCTAGGCTATGCGGCACATGGATTTGAGAGTCCAGAGTATGGGATAGGGCGACCATGTGCTCACTGGTGTCCCTTTTCCTACCAATCACCAGGAATAAGCTGTGTGTTGCACCAATGCGGACAGCACGTAGCAAGCAATGGGTGACTTCAATCTCAACATTATCCAGGAAAGATGGATGCGACCGAAGAGCCTTCTCTTCAACTTGATATCCCATCTCTGTTGGCTGAATAGTGACAGCAGACTCTGCACGGTCAATCTCTTTGATGATCAGCCGCCTTGAGGAATTGTATCGATCATTCCGGTGAGAGTCAAGACGGAATCGAGGAACCTTAAGGTGGCCATTTTGCAACAGGACCTCTCGCTCATTAGTCCACAAGACCCCATCCAGCTGGCCGGACTGGTCCCAGATCTCAGATGCTTCCAGATGGAGGAGCTTCGTTGCTATTATGAGGGCATCGGCATCGACCAAAGAATGCAGGTTAAGGAAATGTATATGAAGATGAGCCATCTCCATAGCCAATGTACGTTGAACTCCTGCAAACATGTTTCCGTATGGATTGTCACCTTGGGCACCGTGTCCTAACCATAAAACATTCTTGCTTTGTTTGAAGAGCTCTTGGAATGTCTTCAGATTCGCAGGTGACATGTCCTGTAAAACCGGTCCATCTAACTCAATCAAACTGATCACTGAGCCCATGACGGGTAATTGTGTGGATACCAGATCATCTAAAGAGCTGGCCGTGTGAATATTGCCATAGTGCTGGCGGACTGCCGTTGTGATCTCAGCTACTAGAGTAGCGGTCAAGGAGGTTTTTCCGCCGATAATCGTCAGGGAGTCCACACCCAATGGTATATGATTAGGTGAAAGAGGGTTGCGGAGAAAGTTCACGCGATGATCGACTGCTTGGGTTACCATGACTGAGAATGGCAGAGGAGAGGTCGTGGAAGACGACACCGAGCTAGCTTCGAAGCCAGAAAATCCGACCCTTTGCATCAGTTCTTCCCATTTGTGCTCCGATATGCAGGGCGATAACGTCCGTCCCTCCTCATAACCTAACCACCAGCCTGGGAGGCCTCCCAGAATGAGTGCGAAGCGCATCACTTCAGGGTTTGTAAGTTCAAGCATCACTAGGTATCCACCAGGCTTGAGGAGCCGGCGAACATTCGAGAGGGTCGTTTCAAGCTTTCTGGTTGCGTACAGGGCCAGCGGAGCTATGACAAGATCAAAACAACTCTCTTCGTAGCTCTGCTCTTCAATGTTTCTCTCGATGTCCAACAATTTAAATGCCATTCTTGATTGGAATTGTGAGAATCTCTCGCGTGCGTCGTCGAATTGCGAATCGTGAATATCAGAGTATGTGTATGAGGCAAACGCCGAGCCCATTGCACAAATCACTCTTTCTGAAGTAGCACCGGCGCCGGCTCCTAAAAACAATTAGTACCTACTGCGGTCGCAAAGATTGGCAATAACTAACCAATCTCCAAAGCGTTGAGATGAGGGTATCTATGACTGATCTGGCGAGCTGTTTCGGCAATAGCATCCAAGTATGGATCTATTCCAAGTGTTTTGGCATGGAACTCCGCGAGCATGTGATCTTGCATCAGGATCTCAAGCAAGTTCTTATCTCCACGAATGACAGCTGGGAGATTCTCTCCAACAGCGCACATCAGTTTGATGTCTATCTTGTCGGAATGACTGGGTCAGTTAGCACTGTTTCATCTTGATCCTAGGTGGAAGGAGGACCCAAGGTCGTACCGATTCAAGATTGGAGCAATTGTATCAATCGTGTCACTAGCCCATTCCGGCTGCGTGAATTTGTGGGTTCCATTAGCAACTGAGGAGAGACAATGTTCAACATATGAGAGGAGGTGTGTATGGTTCCAAGTGGCGTTAGCACGATCAGACTGCTGGAGTGAAAGTTTCAGTTGTTTGAAGTAAAAATGGGCGACACGTTCGAGGTCCAAGGCTGCAGAACAGTCTTCTGCAAGCATATCCACAGCACCCAGTTTTAAATCACGGCCGATTGGCCTATCAACATCCCAGATCACTTCAGTGAAGAACGGGATATCGTTAATCGATGTCAATGGGCTTAGCGGTGTGGTGTGAAGTCCTTCAAGTTGTATCAAAGTCTTCTTGCCGTCAACGGAAAATATATCAACATCTCCAGATAGTTCGGCGAACCGGGCATCAGTCACTGCAGAATGGAATGGCAGGTCCGCCCCAGGACCTCCAAGAGCGACGCATGCGGTCGGGTTTATGCGGAGCCTGTCGATCCGAGTAGGAAGGTAAAGAGTGCGTAGGCGCCCATCTCCTGGGAAGGAATAGGCAAGCATGATAGACTGAATGGCTCCATCAAGTGACGCCGGGTGAATTATTAAGGGTCTTTCGTCTTCGGACGCCATTGGTACCGCAATTAAACCCGACGCCTCGTCCATTTTCCTGCATAGACTGGACAGAGCCTGGAAAGGTCCAGTATAGCCGAATCCAAGCTCGGCCACTGAATTGTAGAATCGGTCGGTTTCCAAATCCAAAAATGAGCCATGTGGCTGTCCTCGTGGTGGTAGGATATCGAGGTTTGGGTCTCCTGTAATGATTCGCAAGGTGGCGGATGCATGTAGCGACATACTGGCTGACCCCTTGTTGGCATCAGAATGGCAGGTAAATGATGCAGACACACAATCATCGTGGACTTGATCGATTGACAGTCTGAAAATTGTTTCTACTCCACCGTTTTCTTCAAGGACCAAGGCTTGTCCGATGATCACATCGTGGAAGTCAATCAGTTGCACAGATCCCTGTTTATATTTTTGCATGACAGCCTCCACTGCTGCCGAGATGTAACCAGCCGCAGGGAATACCATTTGACCTTGGACCTGGTGATGTGCCAGCCAGGGGACTTCCCTGGGGTGAAGATAATTGCGCCAGCGTAGCTCTTTGTCTGTCCCGTCGGGGCATTTGACACCAAGTAAGGAGTGAAATGCTTCCTTCTCTGTGCGCATTGTGGCAGATAATCGAGATTCATGCCAGTAGATACGGTCATGATCCCAAGAATATGATGGAAGGCCTTTGATAAGCTCCGGGGTTTGAGTGTTCCGGTTTCCCATTCGTTCGAAGCCGGCAAAGTCCACGACACTCTCTCCCAATGCAGTCCACACTGTGCCCAGTGCAGATGCGAAAGCCTCACTGTCAATCTTACCTCGGCTCAAAGTCCCAGTATATGGCAATGTCTGCCCAGAGACTTCTTGAATCGTTTGCATCGCAGGTCCTTTCAATGCTGGATGAGGACCAACTTCCAAAGCCATATCAAATGGCCCAGATGCGCCAACGGCATATGTGATTGCTTGGGAAAATAGCACTGGATTGACCATATTGTTGCTCCAATATGTGTCGGCAAGATTATCGTTCACGTTCTCGATGTTCTCGCCATACACACTGGAGATCCAGGTGGCACTGCCGCTTGGTGGACGCTGTATTTTGATACCGCATTTGCGGATTGCTGCGATATACGGAGAAGAACAGGAAACCATATGATGCGAATGGTATGCTTTGTCGACTTTCAATAGGCGTGCAAATTTCTTTTCGTCTTCGAGAATTTCTCTTGCCTCTTCGATCGCATCAATATCCCCTGAGAGTGTAACGCTGGCGGAGGAGTTGCTAGCAGCCACACAGATTCTGTTCTCGAGTGAAGGCATCTCGCAAAGGTCTTTTGCATCTTCAAATGACGTTCCCGCTGCCATCATTGCCCCCTTTGATCCATCACGGTCACTTGCGTATTGGAGGGACCATCCACGGTAATAGGCAATACGGATAGCATCCTGTTCGTTGATATATCCGGCAGCGTAAGCCGCGGCAATCTCCCCAGATGAATGGCCAACGACGGCAGCGAATTTCAGATTGGCTGCATGGAGAAGTTGCACCAGCGCAATCTGGATCGCCGTACAAAGAGGTTGCGAAAAGGCTGCTTCCCCAATGCGAGAAGAGGTCTTGTCCTTGAGGATCTCCTCTCTCAGTGACCAAACGGGGCGATGCTCGGTGGGTAGCTCCTGCAAAGACCGGTCAAGACGAGCAATGCAATCACTGAACATTAGTGAGCTTGCGAGCAATTCGGCGCCCATTTGAGTCCATTGTGCCCCTTGGCCTGTGAATACTCCGAGGAGTTTGGGGTTGCGGACATTCGCTGTCTGCGTACTTGGGGTTATTCCCTCTGAGTGCACTGCTTGCTCCAGGCTACCGATAAGCTGTTCTAGGTTTGATGCGGATACCGATAGTCGCACTGGCAAGGTGGAGCGCCGACAGTTCAAAGTCCAGGACAGATCCCGAATGTTTATATCTCCATGGCTCTGCAGATATGCCGAATATGCTGCAATGCTCGCCAGAAGTGACTTTTCCGATGAAGCGGAGAAGTTAAATGCCAATGCGCCTACCGAGTGGCTACTTGTCATTTTTCTACCTTCCGCCGGGAGACAAGCATCGAATGCCTCTAGAATGGCGTGGGCATTTGCTCCACCGAATCCAAAGCTGTTGACGCTAGCGCGACGAGGGGTGTTATCTGGCAGTGGAGGCCATTCCTTGGCCGCGTCGAGAATTTCAAGATTGTCATAGAAAGGGAGTACCGTTGGACTCAACTCATCAAGTAGTAGATTTGGCGGTATCACCGCTTTTTGCAAGGCCAGCGATGCTTTGAGGACTGCTGCCAATCCGGCTGTCCCTTCAGTGTGGCCAATCACCGTTTTGATGGAGCCGACATACAACGGGGGCTCTTGGTCGACATTTCGGTGGTATTTAGCGGTTTTTCCAAAGAATGCAGTACTGATAGCCTCCGCCTCGACGGGGTCACCCGCAGGAGTTCCTAGTTCGGTTAGCAGGTCTCAAAAGGTGGGAGCTTTCGCGCTCACTAGTTCCTCACTTACCGGTACCGTGAGCTTCGAAATATTGAGGACGATCGCTGGATTTGGAGAGATCAAGGCCGGCTCGAGCGTACGTTGTCCGAATAAGTTGCGCCTGAGCTACAGGGTTGGGCATCGTGATGCCTTTAGTACGACCGTCTTGGTTGGCGCCTGTCTCTCGCACGATACACTCAATGTGATCGCCATCCGCCAGTGCTGCATTCAGTGGCTTCAGTATGATCGCCGCAATTCCATCACCGCGTGCATATCCATTTGCGCCTTTGTCCCACATACGTGAACGGCCGGTGGGGGAGAGCATCTTCAACTTGCTCTCTGCGATGTATTGCTCGGGTCCCAATAGAAGATTGGTTCCTGCTGCCACGGCAACATTGGTCTCACCGCTCCGTAGGCTCTGTACGGCTTGATGCAGTGCAATCAGGCTGGAAGAACACGCCGTGTCGATAGTCATAGAAGGGCCGCGCCAGTCAAAAAAATAGGAGACGCGATTAGATAGAATACTTCGAGCGGTTCCTGATGCAAAATAAGTCGGAAACTTTTGCACATCCCGACCTAACATATCGGCATAGTCGTTGGTCATCAAACCAACATAAACACCAGTGTTTGATCCTTGTAGCTTTTCCATCGGAATACCAGCAGTTTCAAGTCCCTCGTAGACAGTCTCAAGCAAAAGCCGTTGTTGGGGATCAATGGAATTTGCTTCCACTGGTTTGGTCCCAAAGAATTGAGCATCAAACAATCGATGATCTTCCGACAATAGATAAGAATGTCGAACATTCGTCGTGCCATGGTGAAGACCATCAGGGTGGTAGAAGGCTTCGGTGCTGAACCGGCTATCTGGGATTTCGGAGAGCACATCTCGCGGTTCTCTGAGCAACTCCCATAGTTTTGACGGGGTTGTCGCATCACCGGGGAAGCGGCAAGCACTTCCCACAATGGCAATCGGTTCCCCGGTATGCTCACGATCGCCTGTCATTGTGAAGGTCCGGTTTCACTGGCTCTGCACAGGCTGGTACAACCGATGTGTGACTGCGCGTATGCAATGAAAAGTCTATAGGGTATCAATCATGGACAACCGGGACAAGGTTTTCTCCGTAACATTCACACTCCAGTAGCCTGCGACGGGAAGCGGTACATATCAATGAGCCGAGGCTCGCTTGGATGCTTATGTTGGGACATTTTGGGAACTTAGTCTCGCATCAGCCTGTCTCGATTCTCAGCTGGTTCCGAGTCCGAATACTCTCTTCCGGCTTTGTGGTATGAAACGAGACAAATCAGGACGAAAGCATGGGATCCACCCCCTGTTTCGCCGTGTATGCAAAACAATATGTTAAAGGTTTCTGCTCCGTGTCGCATTCGAAATGCTCAAATGGGCGGCGATCTAGATTCACAATCGCAACACACACACACACACACACACACACACACACACACTAGTAATCCTAGGCTTTTGGCTTAGCCACATCAGCTAGTTTGAATCTCGAGTCCGAGTCCGAGTCCGAGTCCGAAGACACGTGCCTATGTAATGAGATCCCTACAATGTTAGCCAATCTCATAATCTAGGCTCATCATCCAACTCGGAGATATCGCAGGCCTGTTTCCAATGTAGACCATCACTTTTCCATCGGTTATGCCCACGTTGCGGTGCCCGAAACGATTTCCATGAGACCACGGATGTTGCTTAATCCATGTGTATTTTAGCGTTCGTTATTGGGAAACCCTGAGGTTTCAGCAAGAGATGACCGAAATGATAATAAAACCTTGCCGGGGGCAATATGCAGCCACTATGCGCTTCCGTCGACATATTTCCCAAGTTGGCAAGAGAGTACCAAATTTTCATCCATTCCATGGTAGTTTCCTCGCTTCTTCGTCTTGTTGCCGGTGTTCCGCTGATATTCGGGCTTACTGAAGGACAAGCAAAGGCTCGGTTTTCATTGGCCTTGTTAGACCGGCCCTGGATGAAATATTGCAGTTTTGAAGACCGACGCGTGTCAAAGTCTAGAATGTTCTGGGTCCGGAATCTTCGGCTGCTATTCTCAAAGGGAAATCGGCATTAACTGAGGAAAGGCATAATTACTTAGTTCGGAAGGGAGAGTATAGATGCATTGAGAAACGAAGGTAACCACGAGGTAGCAAGGGGGGGGGGATAGAAGTCACGCATGTATGCCTCAGGCATCACATCTGGCCTCAGGCTGCTGCGCACATGTGCCATCACTTCACCCAAACGGCCCGGGCTGTCTCATTGGTGACTTTCCATATGACTGTTTCACCCCGTACGTCCACATACACAGGGTCCCAGGCCTCTCTCTACCTAGGTATTCACTTCCGGGTCTTAATGAGAACACACTCTTCACTTGCACTTAGTGTCAATCGATTCGCTTGATGGCGTACGGCGACAATTTCTAATAAATATACACAAATTCATCATTTTCCCGATCCGTCAGATCCTGGAATGCATGCTCCCCAACTTGCACAGTCGCATGTCCCGCTTCCTCGAGATTGTCTTCATCCATTTCGCGATAATGGTTTTCCATCGAGTGGTCCACTATTTCGGCTTTCTTGCCGTTGCGTACACGCCGACGGGCTTGTTGTTTGTTAAGGAGCCATAGATTAGCCCACTGAATCAGGACTACAGCCGCCAGGGCACTGAAGATACCGAGACATGCGCGCAGGCCTGGGTGATATGCTGGCCGGTCCTTTTCGTTGAAGAGCAAAGGGCCAACAATGTTCCCTGCCGCACTTGCCGCATTGTACAAACTCATAATGACAGACTTCTTGGTTGTCCCACCCGTATTACCGATGATCCACGTCACGACCAGTGGATTGCCACCAAATAGGAATGCGAGTAGATAGTATCCGGCAAGCAACTGGCTCTGCACTGATTTGGTCCGAGCCACCGCATACAAAATTGCGAGCCCCGCTATGACTGGTAGCATGAACACTGCGAGGATGACACTCTTCACGCGAACGGTTTGGGCAAGATAGCTTGCCAGTAGAATGATGATGAATTGCAACGCGCCAAATGGCATGGTCAGTAGAGTTGTCATGTATTTGTCGTAGCCAAGCCCGCTTAAAATGAGTGGACCGAAGATGTTGGTCACACTCGCCCCAACGTTAAGAAGCATTGCCATCGCTATCCACAAATATGTTTTGGGCTCGAGGCAGACCTCGAGGACATGGCCAAGTTTGAACTCATTATTGCCCGTTCCTGTCTGGTTGGCTCTGAGACGCTCTATTCCTTGTGCTTTTTCATCCTCGCTAAGGAACCGAGCAGTTGCGATATCGTTGTCCAATCGCCAGTAAACCACAGGGGCAGACGCGACAGTAATCAGCCCAACAACAAGGAAGATCCTAAGTGCGAGTTAGCGTACGGTTCTATTTCCAGCCTCATCGCTTGATCACCTACATTTGCCATGCTTTCAGCACCTCTGACTGGATTTGTGCTAGTCCATACGATAGAGCAGCTGCAACAACAGTCGCTAGGCCATTTGTGCTATACCATGCTGCGATCCGGATCGGTTGCTCTGCCCGGCGGTACCATTGACTCGTAATGACCCCAAATAGTGGTAGGCATCCTGCTTCAAACAGGCCGAGGAAAAACCGCGCAGCCATGAGAGATCCGAAATTATGGCATGCAGCCATGCATGTCTGAGCAATGCCCCATCCCAGGCATAGAGCTGGCATAAGAATTTTGTGAGGAACCTTCACAATGAGGTATGAAGAGAAAGGCTGCCAGGCAAGCTGCGCAATTGGTCCAATGGAGCCAACGAGTGAGTATTCATTGCCTGTAAGGCCTGTATCTGCCTGTAAACCAAAGGTCGCACCGTAACCTAGAACCGTCTTATCGAGGATCTGTAAAAAGTAGACCCATACAAGCACCACAAGAATTACCTTGTCGGTCTTGCGACATATCCGGTTGCTGTCTTCTTCGGTCAGTGGCACACGCTCGACACGACCATTTTCCATGAGCTTTTCCCCTTTCCGTTGCTCCGCGGTTTCATCGTGAACAACCTCTGATTTAAACATGGCGAGCATTTGGAAGGAAAATTATCTTCTCCGCACGCTGGCTAAATTGAGGCATATTTATATGTATAACGTTGAGAGTTAACATCCCCCACGCTTTAAGGTCGACCTTCTCTCGTCAACCCCGGTTTCCCCATGTTCCCCCCACGTCTCCGCACCCGGGCCTCCCCCACGAAATCCTGATGATCGGCCCATAGCGCAGCCAAGACCATTAGCGTACTAGTTTTTCCACGTATGGATGAGTACCTAACTTCGCTTTTCCAATCGATCGGAGGACTATATAGCCGTCTTCGAGCCGAGCCCAGCCCCGCTACCCTGGTTGATTTCCCCGGACAATGTGACCTTGGGTTCCGGAGGGGCGATTTCGATTCGGACAGTCCGCTATGACCCGAGGCAAACCACAACATAATTTTTGGGGATGTGAGAGCGATATGTATATGTGTCACAAGTGATTTTATATGTATTTCGTCTTTGGGCATTCGAATAAGGTTGAGATTTGATTTCACCCTGAGAAAAAGATGATGCGGAAGCGCATAGCTCAGTGGAATTGTTGATAAATTCATATTGATCAATACCACACGTCCCTACCTCACTGGGTAGGTATATATAGAGAAGGTTGTGTTTCCTCTTGAATATTGTACTCATTGCTTTTTCATCCCGCACGGTCCAACCTCCATAATCCTACGAGACTGGCCTTTTTTTTCGCTCGATTGCATATTATTTCACGATCGAAACAGGTGCTCATTCGGAAGCCCCGGTGTTCAATAAGCGAGTGAGGTTGTCAGTGACGTTTCTGCCTCAGGCACAAAGGCACAGACGCACGTCGGTATGTCGGTGACCTTGTCGGTGACCTTGTCGGTGACCTTGTCGGTGACCTTGTCGGTGACCTTGTCGGTGACCTTGTCGGTGACCTTGTCGGTGGACACCTGTCGTTCTCCGTCGACAAGAATGCAAAGTCGTAATGCGCGGTACGGAGCACATGCCATCCAAGTGCCCTTATTGGACTCCGCACTCCCGTCCTCCGTCTTACATGTACACACTGACACGGAGCTTACTGTTTGTATGCCGTAGGAAGACTCCGTACCGCGGATTCGCGGAATGTTCTCCGGACTTCGACTGTCACTCGGCCTTGGAAGCCGCGTGTGTTCGTCCCCCTTGTCACTCCCTTGTTACTCCTCAAAATCTCGAAACTGAGCATCTCCATATACCGGATTGGACCGTGACAATATACCCATATATTGAACATTGTTGAAAGCATGTTCCCATACCGGCTCGCAGCTACGTTATCACACATTAAGTGTCTGAGCTGGACCCCCTACTCGGAACTCTCCCGTTCCCCCACCCCCGCCCTCACCCCCGATACAGCGGATGCGCGAGGACGATAACAGTATTTGATTCTATTCTTTGAGCGCGTCGTGGCCCCAATTTTTGAGTGATCGATAACTCTTACTATTCGTGTCGTGCTTCGTTCGCCCCTCTTGCGCTAAATGTCGCTTGCAGTATGATACGACACGACGCATGTGAGCAATGTCTTGATCGGTGTACTCAGATGGATCCTCGGTTGGATTATGCTCGAGGATGCGAACAATTCTTCGGCCACTATCGTTCTGATCAGTGTCCTTTGCTCCCTCTTCCTATATGCCTTTCCGGCGACCGAAGGAATTCAGACCGACCTTTCGTGCCCAATAGTCTCACCAGAGCCCCCTGCCCAACCCGCCCTTCGCGATTCCTCTTGTTCAAGCCAGTTTCGAAGCTCTGTTGGGCCCATATTCACGAGATCGTGGAACTCGCTGATTGACTTGTTAATCCTCTGTATGGAGGGAGCTCAGTGGGACCCGGACGACGAACTTAATCACAGTATCTTTGTCCTTCATTGTTTCAATCTTCGAATTGTTGAAATCATATGGTAGGAGAGGAATGACTGTGTTGAGTAATTTGGCCCTTGAACGGGACCATCGTTGAACGGAGACTTGACGTCACAATCATGGAGCCGCATTTTTCCAATTGGTCGATAATATTATACATAGATCTATTTAATTCCCAATCTCTATCTCTATGTCATAATGATAATGTCGCCAGGGGTGGCTCCCGTATCTTCCTGAAAAGGCCACAGAGCATCAGGTAATATTTATCGCTGAATAGCATTTCCACCTTCCACCTGGGCCTGGTTGGGCAGACTGCTTATGGCCCGAGTCCCATTGGGCCAGAAAATCGATGAGAGTGAGATCTAGAGTGACATTAATATTACCCTGAGAGGGAACTGCGGGGGAGAGGACGGAAACGTGGAGACTTGGCAGTATGCTCGTCTTGTCAGGTCTACGAACCCTGATACATCCTACTGTTTCGACTCGATGGATCTTCGCATGGGCATGATTGCTAGTCACATATACAGGGGCCCAGCTGAGCAAGGTGTTTATGAGTTCATTCTCCACCTGGGGATAGATCGGTTAGAAGCTAGCTTGCATTTGTATTATGCTGCTACTCTCATGACTACAAGAGACTTCCCAGAGTTTGATGCAGAGAATCAGCCCATTGGTGTTACATAGTTCCGTACTGTATATAGTGTACCTCGTGGGGAGCCAAGTCCCCCGATACGGATTCGCACTGTCTTTCCCCTCTTTGATCGGGCCCCGGCCCCAATCACAAGCTGTTAGGCAATCGTTCCTATGCACCTGGGCAGAGAGTACCGGTAGCAGATACCTACCTAGATGTGATCACAGATTGAGAATACACACCCCTACACCTCTCTGATTTCACTTCTTGGACGCACGCCCTGATTTCTCTCGTACACCTGGTTGGGTATGATGGTGAATTACAAGTGCCGAACCGACCCGTACGCCGGAGAGCATATAGCTACGAGAGTTCCCCTCTTCGATAATAGGTAAATACATATAAGTAGGATTAGTTAGGTATCTACCTTATCTAAAGATTATACATCGGAAAGTCAGGTTGTAAAAAATGAACCTTTTCGCTGACTAATACCCGCTCGAGCTTCTTCGAAGGCCGCAGACTATGCGGCCAAATCGACTTGTGTTATGTATGTAGGTAGTAACTACTCCGCATGTACATGTATGTACTGTATGGAAATGACGTCACTAAGCCCCCTTGTGACCTCGGGAACGCGGGACGGGGCCGAGATATATCTTAGTCAGTCAGTTAGTCAGCTGCCTATCCTTCCAAACTGGGAAGGTCCCGAGATTCCCGAGGTTTCGGAAAGACCGGCTGGGCAATAACAGACATCTTTCGCTCTTCCAAGGTTGCACTGAGTTACCACACTGCAATACGATATTTCCCGCCTGTATCCCATACTGTTGCCAAATGTCAGCTATCATCAATCAACTTAACCAAGGCGCCGTGCCTGGCGCCGTCTCCAATGTTTGCCCTCCAGGTACCAAGTTCCATGTCTTGGAAGTAGGATGGCTAGAGTGTGACGAAGCTTTCGTCCTCCGGGGTAGTAACACCAGTCTCAAAAGCACAGAAGGCCAGTCTTTTGTCAACAAACGTCGACAGATGCCCATGTACTGCATCTTGATTGATCATCCGCATGAAGGCCTGATTCTCTGGGAAACGGGTTCTGGCAAGGACTACCCTACAGTTTGGGGACCCGCTGCGTCTGATGTTTTCGCCCGCGTGAACTATGAGCCGCGTCACGAACTTCGGGCGGCAGTTGAAGCCACTGGAAACAAAATCGAAGATATCAAGAAGATCATCATTGGCCACCTTCATCTCGACCATGCGGGAGGTCTCGATGAGTTCTTGGACACAACTGATGTCGAGATCTGGGTCCATGAGCGGGAATTCAATTCTGCCTTCTGGTCCGTTGCTACTGGTGCTGATGTTGGCGTCTATCTACCTCACTATCTCAAGTTGTCCTTGTATGTCTTCCCTGTATGCATCCCTCAAATCGTACTGACCTCCGGCCAGAAATTGGAAAACATTCAATGACCAAACCTTCGACTTCTGTCAGGGAATCACTCTGCACCACCTGCCAGGCCACACGGATGGTCTAATTGGAATGCAGATAAACATGCCAGAGACAGGCACGTTCTTCTTCATCAGCGACCATTGCCATGTTATGGAGAATGTAAATATTACCCACCATCCATCACTCAACATAGCATTAGCTAACATTGATCACAGTGGGTCGATGGGATTCCTCATGGTTGGCTTGCCCGTGACCACCCATCGTGGTTCCGGAGCACGCAAAGGCTCAAGCAGCTCGAGCGTATCACAAAGGGGCAAATTATCCCTGGCCATGACAAGGAAACCCTCTTAAATCTTCAGAAGCAAGCCAAGGTATTCACTTAGAGTGTGGGCAGCTCCCTGTAAACACCTCTCCTTGTGTGCTAGCGGACCGTGAGTTCGACCCCTCAAGAAACACTTCAAATTTATGAGTTTATTCCTAACACAAAGGCACAGTAAATTTATTCCAGCATGCTGTTTGACAAGTTCCTCAAAATTATGGCGGTGGAGGCACCCCGAAACTGGCGACCTGCAGCTACTCGAGACGGATTGAGTGTCTATCAAGCGTGTTTACCTCCGCACACGGAAGTTTTAGGAAATCAGCATGGATGCACATGAATCCAAATGCGCATTTATCAACAAGTCCTTCTATGATATACCTAGAGTCATGTTCACAAACTTCGTATAGTAAGCCTTGTAATATCTTTCACGGGCCTAGATCTAGTCATGTATTCATTCGCTCCCACGAAAGTAACTATCACGCATATGAAACAGAGTTTTACTGGCATACCGGGTCGGTGGCGAGCTCGGATGGCATTAGACACTGTGCTCCCGGACTTGCGGCCCGTTGGGGACAAATGAGAGAGATGTAACATGGAAGAGGACCCTGTTCTTTAGAAGGATATTATCCATCCATCTCCAAAATTACGGGCATACGGAAGCGATCCATCAATTATTGAGCTAGAGAGCCTATTTAGGGTATATGGAACTATTATCATCGGCCTTCTGGACTCGTCAACTTTCTCGTCCTAAAGTCCCGATACTATTTGTGCTGAAAAGGACAGAAATCCCAGTATGGAATCTCGTAGAACGAGATTGTCAGTACTTGGTAGATCCCTTGAGTTCCTAATAAGATAAATAATGGTCCATTGATGGTCATGCTGGAGCCAAGACCTTAACCACATATGATGTGATCAAAGAGGGTCGGAGCTCTAGTGCGTCGGTGATGTGTCTAGGATGATGGTGAACAATGATGAATGATCAACCTTCTAGGATTGGAAACATCTGGGAATACGTGAAGTATTACGCAATTTACTAGGTTCTACGGTAGTATGCATGATGCAGATTGCTACTGCACGTGTCGGATACACCTGCGTCGATAGTTAACGACTAAGTGACATGTTACATCGCCTATTGAGGTGGCTCTAGCCTCTTTGGATCTGATATTAGCCCCTCCAGGGCCAAGATTGTGATATCAGGAGAGAGCCATACTTGTAAGCATATGTCAACATGGATAGTGAACTAGTCTAATGCAGTAAATCCCAGCCAGACTAGCCGGATCAATGAGCGATGACCGAATTTTCTATTATTCGGATGGCATTTATAAGCAGCTTTTGCTAGCTCAAGTATTGGAATTACTACCCGAGAAGGTCGCGTAAATGGCGTGCTTCAGGTTTGAATCGCAGACATCCTCGACCGACATATACCCGAGGACGTAATCCAACTGTGAGCGCGCCAATCAACCTCGCAAGCCTCCAATCGTGGGATAGGCCAGGAGGGGACTTTCTCCAAACACTATTCTGATGCGATCGGACAGAATTTCTGGAAATATATCGAATTGTCTGCCACCGACCATGCCGGAGAGCATTCTCTTGTGAATAATCCAGGTATCTAGTGGGGTCATCGTTTGGGATCACCCTCACATGCGACCTATGGTTGGCACGCAGCGCGAAAGGCCTAATGAGGCGCATAGAGTATCTGCCTGGTTTGATACAGAGACTGTCCGTTATATTTGCGGTTTCTGGTCCTTTCATGGCACATCCAGTTAGACCTTCGCACCAGCCCGCAAAGCCCAAAGCCCAACCCGCCCCAACCCGCAAATGGGCTGGGCTTTGGGCCCGGTCGCTGGGTCCATCGGTGGCTATGGGCCTAGGGTAGAAGCCTACTGGGCTTTTATGGGGGCCCAATGAGCTTCAAACAATATAAACATGCTAATGCTTGGTAGATATATAAGTAATGTAGATTTTTCTGGTATTTCTAGGTATTGAGATTACCCCCTGAATTGACTGAATTTGTTGAGAACCATGCCTGAGGCAGGATTCTCTCATCCGCAGGATTATCAACGCTACGCCCTTTTTGTCTTTTCTGCCGAAAAGCCCACCGTTGGGGGCCAAATTGAGGACTCCGATCCTCGGCACACAAAGGGGCATAAATAGCAGGAAAAGGCAGATATTATCTAGATCTTTAGACAATTCAATACTTCCATGAGAGATCCTATTCCCAGTATCATTTGAACCCATTGTTGAAACCCTATATGCTGTATCATACCTCTGTATCTTCAACAGGTTATGAGCCCGGCTGTCTCCAATAGCCGGAATACCTAAATTGCGCAGTATAGTCCATTTGCTATATTTGCTAGCAAATATTTGCTTGCCCCTGTGCACCTTTTCATCTGATCTTTGCCTAGACCTATATATATAGGTCCTCACCCTAGGATCTCTCTCTTCTTCTTATATATATCTTACCTCTTATTTCATACCTTACCTTTTATACCTATACCTCTCGATCTCTCGTAGATCTACCTATTTTTTTATTAATTTCATTATAACCCCTATCACCCGACGGTCCTAGCGAGACAGAGGGGCATCTAGTGCACCTAATACACCCTATACACCCTACGAACCCTCCGACTCCGACGCCGACCGACTAGACGAATTAGGGTCCGATGATAACTATAGTAGCGCCTTAGGCGAGGGTAGCGATAACGAAGGAGGAAATAATAGTCCTATAGCTCCCGCTAGCACTAGAAATATAGACCCCGGCTAAGGCCTATAACGTCTAAACCCCGCGGATCAACTAGCTAGAGAACTCGAGTCGACCGAGCATCTCTATACCTAGTAGCCCTAAGGACTAACTAGGCAGCTCGTAGCGGGTAGACCCCCCGCTAAAGTCTCCGAGTCTATCGAGACTAATATATAAGTCCTATTAATATAGATTAATAATCTAAACCGATTTAATCGAGATAGCTCTATATTCTCGCTACGTAACCGCTACGCTACCCTAAAGAATAACACCCGAGAAGAGGAAGAAAACGCCCTTCGATACCTTAGTTTTACTAAGGACCTCGGGAAAATATTTAAAAGAAAAGAAGAATATAAAGGACTAAAACTTATAGGATTAAATAATTACCGCACCTAGGCCGCTAATATACGGTAAGTACTAAACTAAAACCTTCTCGAATAAGTTATCGACGGTAAGGTAGGATTATTACCCCCTTCGTACGAGAAGCACTATATACTAAATATATAGAAAGGAGTAGCCTAGCTTACTATCCTAAATACTATATACCTAGACTTAGCGAAAAACATTATACCGCCGAGCCCTCTAGAACCCGAGCGTATCTAGTAGGAATTACAAAATCAATACGATATAAAGGATACTTTTACCGCCGAATAAGGCGCTATTATAATAAAAGTACTATATATATCCCGCGTCCGTAACGTCGGAACCCTAATCGAGGCATTTAAGACTATATAGACTAATAAAACTATTATACGACCTCCGATCGAGAGTCTACTAATTAAGCTATAAGAAATAGACGAACTCGAAAAATATACGGAACTTATAGCGTGCCTCGATAGCCTAGAATAGCACCCGTAGAAGCTTAACTACGATAAAATAGTTAGTAGGTCAACTAACTAGCTAGACTAATACCTCTTCGATCGCCTATACGGCGAACTATAAAGAGAAGAAGATAACCTCGCCGCCGGTAAAAAGGTAGCTATAAGGACCTTATCTACGGAAACTAGTAAACCTATAAAACTATAAGGACCCCGCACACGACGAGGACCTCTAGGATTAGTATACACCTTCTATAAAAAGAAGGGGCACCCCGCCGAGAAATACTAGCTAAAAAACCCTAATTTAGTACCTAAACGGACTACGGAAACCCTAATTATATAGGTCGAATATAGTCACGAGGTGTAAAACTTCTTAACTAGTATCTTAATTAATAACTAGATCTACGATATAGCCTACGACGAATATATAATTAGCTCGCTAGACTATTTTATACTAGGTACTACGAAACTATTAACTACTACGATTAAAATAGCCCTAATAAACTAGCCGGTCTAAGGTATAATCGGGGATATTAAGATTATAGTCGATAACGGGACTAAGTAAGGGAGAGATCTTATTCTCACTAGGACTATATATCTCCCTAAACTCCGTAGTAACCTTATCTCGTAGCCTAGGCTCGCTAACTATAGGATTATAGCGATATATAGAGACGAGGTTATTTTCCGGAAACTAGACGGTAGCATTCTTATAAAAGGACTACGAAAGGGCAAAAATTAGATACTAAACGTTCGCTATATATACCGATACTAGACTCTAGATCTAGAAACGTCAGTTTTGATAACGGTATAGGAAGTAGGGGGCGTCGGATACCTAAAAACTTAGGCCGATACTCCTATTTCCGCCGAAAAAACTACCTACGGATGCCTAATTTCTTAGGCTAATAATATAGAGGTTATCCTAAGAGACTCCTACCCCTAGCTAAGGGGCCTAAGCACGCAAAAATAGGAAAACGCCGTAAGTTCACCTAGCTAACTAGTAAAAGGCGCTATTCCGCCGAAAAAGGTAATATCTCTTCCGCCGAAAAAGGGACCCTTTTCTTAGGTAGAAAAGACAGAAATACTCGCTACCCGTAGAGTAATAAAGATATAGAAGATAAACTCGTCTAGTAGCTTAAAATAATAGTCCTCGGAGACTACCTCGACTTCTCCTAGTAAGACTCCCCCTAGCGAGCCACCCACTAAGCTTAAAAAGGATAGGGTTAATATCGACACCTAGTACCGTAGACTATACTATATAGGGATCAAACCCCTATAGGAAACGGCAAAAATCACGGAAGGTATTAATATTATAGGCCTACCTACCCCTAAAAGACCCTATAGCCACTACTAAATCGGAAAGGCCTAGCTCGCACCCCGTAGAACCCTAGTTTTATATAGATCTAGTAAAATAGGAGATCTCGTATACCTCAATCTAGGGGGCGGGGGTAAAATACCTAGAGGTTAGGGAGGTAGCTACCGATACTAGATAATTAGTATCGACGACTTCGACGGATAGGGAGAAATATAGTTTACCTCCTATAAAGACTTCGTCCTAGACCTTATAATTAAAATAGTAAAACTATATTCCGCCGAAAGGGAGATAATAATTAAGACATTTATAACCCCCGATCTCCCCCCGCTACTAGTACTAGGAAGCAAAACACTACCGCCTAGTAGACTAGAGATCGGAGCCTTCTAATTAGATCACGGAGGAGAGTTTAATAACTTCCGCCTACAAAAATAGGCTAAGGATACTAATACCCGTCTATATTTCTTAGCACTATACGTATATAGGTAAAATAGTAAAGTCGAAAGAATAATACGAATAGTGTAAGAACGCACTAGAGCTATTCTTAACGATACTAGACTCCTAGATATACTATAGCCCGAACTAATAAAAATAGTGATAATAACCCGTAACCTCACTATCTATTTCGGTAGAAAAAGAGACGGTCTCCTAAACTAGACACTATATAAAATACGATTCGGTAGAAAACCTAATATCTTATTCCTACGGATACCCGGTAGTAAGGCTTACGTTATAAGAAGCCCCGAAGAGATTAGGGCTATAGTTAGTATATTAATAAGTAGATATTTATAGCCCCGCGCCTAGATAGGTAGACTCGTTAGGTATAGTAGCTACTATAGTGTATAATACCGTATCTAGCGTCTAAATATAGATAGAAATAGGGGAGAGATCATAACTCGGAGAGACGTTATTTTCGACAAAGGAGACGACTAGACCCTATATAATAATCCTAATCTCCTAGTCCCACTAGAAACCCTATAGTCGGTAAAATAGTCTAGGTTCCTATTCCTAGACTCTAGGGACCTTATAGACCCTAAGAACCTTATAGACCCTAAGAACCCTATAAATAATATAAACCTTATAATTTCTTCCGCCGAAAAGACCCCTATAACTTCTTCCGCCGAAGAAAGCACCCTTTTTTCGGACTCCGAGGGAGATCTTAGACTTATTGATGAGAGTTCTAGTAACGAATCGGTCCTATTAGTAGACCTACCGAGACTATCTACCGAAGAACTCGCTAACCTTAATTATAAGATCTAAAATAAGGTTTTCTACACTACTATACCTCGGGTAGATAAAAAACGTATATAGGATCTAGTATAATATACCACTATCCTATATACGTAAGCTAGACTAACCCTATTATCTAAGGATCTCCTAACCTTACCCCCACTAATAACCCTAAAAAATATAGACCCTAAATAGATAGAAGACCCTAAATTAGTCCGATAAGCACGTAACTCACCCCTTTAGCCTTAGTAGTACCGCGCTATAAAAATCGAGTTTAAATAGCTTAGTTTAATTAAAGCTTAGGAGATAATCCTTACCCCCGCACCCGCTAAGAATACACGTATCCTCACCGGTAAGTAGGTATATAAACTAAAACTCGATACGGATAGAAACCCCCTAAAATTTAAGGCTCGCTAGGTAGCGAGAGGTTTCTAATAACGGGAAGATCTAGACTATACCGAGACCTTTACTAGTATAGGTAGCTACGTTACGCTACGGATCCTCCTCGCTATAATTACGTAAAAGAAGCTTTTTATAGCTTACATTAACGTAAACGTTATATATCTTAACGCTACGCTAAAAGAGAGACTCTTAATATACTACCCCGAAGGTTTCGAAGATAATACCGATTTTTTAGAGATCTAAGGCAAAGTCTACCTCCTAAAAAAGAGTCTTTATAGTCTAAAATAGTTAGTAGTAAACTAGTTTAATATATTAGGGGACCACTTATTAACGAAAGACTTTATACGATCTACTTCCGACCCGTGTCTTTACACGTAGTATAATTAAAGGGGCGCCGGTACGATCGTCTACATTTTTATATACGTCGACGACCTTTTAATTATAGCTTCTATAGCGGATCTCGTTAAAACTATAAAGGACCTTATTTCGATAAAATAGTCTACGTCGGACCTCGGCGAGCTATCCCACTATCTTTCGATAAAAATAGTACACGATAGAGAGGCGGGAAAAATAATAATTTCGTAAAAAATATACGTCGAAAGGTTCTTAAAAACCGTAACTTTAAGACCCGTGATCCCTTTATCTATTATCCTAATAAAGGAAAAGACCCTCACCGCTATAAGTAAGGTAGTAAAATAGTACTAATCCGATATAGGCTCGATTAACTATACTAGTGTGGTCATACGTCTAGACCTCTTACTCGTAGTAAGTATACTTTCGTAGTTCACTATAAACCTAAACGCTAAACACGAGGATCTAGTATAAAGAGTAATTACTTATATAGGACGCACTAGCTATTACGTAATTATATACTAATCCAGACCTAATTAGGACCTCTAAGGGTATATCGACGCCTTATACGGATTAGCCCTAGAAAGTAAAAGTAGGACTAGGTATATCTTCTTCCTCGTAGGGGGTCTAATATTATAGAAATCTTAAAAGCAGACTAGTATAGCAAAATCAAGCGCCGAAGCTAAATATATAGCCCTCTTAATTACTAGCGGAGAGGCAATTTGGCTACGAAAACTGCTAAAAGATCTTAATTTTTACTAAGGAAGTATAGACCTCCCCCCTATCCCTTTATATAGCGATAGCCAGTCTACGATCACGATAACGAAGAACCCTACTATTTCAGGACGTTTAAAATATATCAACGTGCACTAGCACTAGATCCGCGAGTAAGTTAAAAGGGGAAAAATCAAGCTTACATATATGAAAGGGACTAAAAACATTATAGATGGACTGATAAAGCCCCTCGGGGGCTCCTAAATTTACAGAGTTTATCGTAGGTTTAAACCTCGACCCTAAAACATATAGACTTTCGGCAGAATAAACCCCTGCGTCTTTCGTAGTGCAAAACTACTAGTTTTGCACCTTCCTATAGTCCAAAAGCTGCACCTTTTGACTGAGAAACCTTATTCATCTTAGTCCCCGGCAACATGATCTTACGATATACAACGGCTGCACGTTGAGGGGGCGTGTTGAGAACCATGCCTAAGGCAGGATTCTCTCATCCGTAGGATTATCAACGCTACGCCCTTTTTGTCTTTTCTGCCGAAAAGCCCACCGTTGGGGGCCAAATTGAGGACTCCGATCCTCGGCACACAAAGGGGCATAAATAGCAGGAAAAGGCAGATATTATCTAGATCTTTAGACAATTCAATACTTCCATGAGAGATCCTATTCCCAGTATCATTTGAACCCATTGTTGAAACCCTACATGCTGTATCATACCTCTGTATCTTCAACAGAATTGACTGAATTGACTATAGATGAGGTTTATAAAGTGAAGATTTATAAAATTTGATAAAATTATAGATTGATAGAAAGATACATTCACTTCTCTATATGTGAAATATATATATTTATACATTGATTCTCTGTCACCTGTTGAACCCCCGTATTAGGCTAGATTAGGGCCGGCGCCGAGATCTTCTGCGGTAAGCATATAGACTTAAACATACGTAAATAACAGATATTAATTAGTAGGTTTATGAGCGCTAAGACTGTATTTATGTATATAAATGGGCTTTAATGGGGGCCTTAAGGGCCCCTATAATGGGCCGTGGGCTTGATTGGGCTTCGAAGGTAGGGCCCAACCAGGCCCAGCGCGGAGGTCTACATCTAGTCAAATGAGCGACAGCCCCGATGCAATACGGAGGTAGTGTCTAGCTGTCGCCTTTCTCGCTAGAGAGCGTGCTCCATGTCCGCAAACGCTTTGGTTTCATGACGGATGGTAGATTGCAATTCTCGGTACGCATTGATGCATTTCACTAACCTGTTTGCACATAAAGGATAGCGATTTTGAAGAAGCATGGTTGTCATCGTGTTGCATTCCACTTGCCCAATGAGGATATCTACCCCAAGGGCAAAGTTGCCAGATCAAAACGATTTAAACAGAGATCAACCTTAGTGTTCGTTTCAGTTGAAATGACAGAATTACGCTGATTGTAATCACTTGCGTGATGTTCCTGCCTCGAGTAACGGACTGCGGGAAAGGGTATAACAACCACGTCCTCTTGGGCCCTTTTCCTTTCTTTTCTTTTAGATTCTCTTTTGTATTGTGTTTCTTCTTCAATCTTACGGCTGATCCTGGATCCCTGCAATGCGCCATGAAATTCGAATATCTAACGCCAAGTATGCAGTCAGCATATATGTATTTGATAAGGATTGTTCGGAACCGACTTATCCACAAGACTAACTTCCTCTGGTAAGACGCGAGACTCCTGCTTCACTGTTCGGAGTAATAATATATCTCTCGCTCTAAGCTGCTGGCTATGAGTGATTTCAAATTGGACGAAATTGCTGTTTTGTGCCGTCCAAGATCAAGTCAGGCGTGTGTTTGAGAAAGATAACACTGTGAGATAATGTCGGTTTAGCCTATGCAACCGAAATGCTATCATTGTTCTCTGATCTAGCCGCCTATATAAACTATAGAACACCTTTTCTTCTGTTGAGCGAACAGCTGGTTGTGGGCTAGGCATGTCGGACGCGAAGGCCGGAGGTAGCAAGTGAGCCCACCGATTTCAAATCCATCAAATCAATAGCTGTGCGTCTAGAAGAGTCAATACTCTGCAGTTTATTCCCTCGTCCTTATTTGAATATGCTGACCTGACCCCTTTTCCATTCTTGGCATCCGCATTTCATGTGCGAGAGGGTCATGGTTGCGTGCACATATTGCATATAATGTAAATGAAATCCCAGATTTGCACAGGGTTGTGTTCTCTACCTCAACAGACTGTGGTTCCGAGTTAGTGCAGGCGATTCACTGAGAAAACATGGCAACCCAGGATAAGTTACCCGCGAGCCAAACTGGCATCATTCAACATGATGGTGGCATTCTCCAAATCACTCCTGACCTACCTATCCCAGAACTTGGACCCCACCAAATGCTGGTGAAAACTGCTGCTGTCGCTCTAAATCCATGTGATTACAAAATGCCATTGAGATTCCCTACTCCCGGTCTTTGGGATGGTTGTGATTTTGCTGGCACAGTCGTTGCACTGGGAAGCGAAGCGGCTGCGCAAGGCAGATTCCGTCTGGGGGACCAAGCCTTTGGTGCTGTCCAAGGTTCAAATATGTCAGATCCGATGTCTGGAGCCTATTGCGAGTACATTCGGACAGAGCCGGGACTTACCTTCCATGTCCCTAAGGGGATGGATCTTCTCGATGCACCCTCACTTTCAGGTACCGCAATCGCAACTCTCGGAGTAGCACTCTTTTGGTCGCTCCAATTGCCTGGAACATTGCAGGCACCAGCAGCCAAGGCAGAGGATGTTCTGGTATATGGCGGAAGTAGCACTATAGGACTTCTGGCAATTCAGATGGTCAAGCTGTCAGTATCTCAAACTTCCCCTCCTCTACCTGCTAGGGTCAAAATAAAGACTGATCCATTGTAATTAGCTGCGGCCACCGAGTTATCACAACATGCTCTCCGCGCAACTTCGAGCTAGTGAAGTCCTTTGGAGCGGATGTTGTATTTGATTACAACTCTCCAACTTGCGGCGAGGATATTCGAACAATTACCAAGAACACATTGCGCTATGTGCTTGATCCTTTCGCCGAAGCCAAAACGCTACGGACGTGCTATACAGCCATTGGTCGTACGGGAGGAAAGTATTGTGCATTGGAGCAATACCAAGAAAGTCTTTGTTCGCGAAAGACAGTCAAACATGAACTGGTTATGGGGGGTGCTATTTCTGGGCGAGGTGTCGAGCTCCCTGACCCATACGGTATTCCACCTCGACCTGAGATTGGAGTTTGGGCTCGTGCATGGTATCAAGATCTCCAAGGTTTGATAGAGAATGGCAAGCTTAAACCATGTCCAGTGCAGACTATTCCGGGCAAATTTGAGGGGATCCTAGAGGGTTTGGACATGCTCCGCAATGGGAAGGTCTCGGGGAAGAAGCTCGTTGTTCCGATATAAAAAAAACTCCAAACCATGTCGCTTGCCCAATTTCAGGATTGATAGTTCAAATACTACATCATGGTTTACAGTTGATCAATTTTGGGCATTCTATTGTTATACACTTAAATCCTAGACCTTGAAGTCATTTTAGACTATGAGTTGGCTGGCCTGTCTTACCTTTGCAATTTGACTGTATTTTTCTATGGTTTCTGTTGGTTCGCGTGACAACATGGGCCTCAAGAAATAGAAAGCCTACTCCTATCATCCGCTATTGGGGTAAGAGACAAATTCAATTTTTCAAACTCCATCGTGCTGCAAAGCTCTACGGACATAGTCTCAGGGCAAAATATGATACTCAATTTTTGTTTAGAGAAGCGCAATCTGGAATGGCCCATATTGGATGAATATGCATCTAATTCGGACCTTCATAGACCATCTTAGCAATGACTTTCTTCTCTTCCTTGGTCGTGCTAATATTCCGCGTAAGATATTTCTTTCCGTCAAGTTCCTCAAACCCCCAAATTACTTCTGCTTCCCATCCCTTTGAGGCGTTGTGGGCCAGTTCTTGAATAACGTTCGCAGTGAGGCTAGCCACCGTCAAGATCTGACAGACACAGTTATCCAAGATATCAGACTTGTTGATAATAGTAAGCTGTGTGCGTATATCTCCGAAGATAGGCAGTGAAAGGTCCTGTGGGCTTCCATCGACAGCATAACACCCTTCACTATCAAACCCGCCGGGATTGACAGTTTGTTTCACACGAAGAGTTGTGACTGAATCGGATTTCTCGGTTAGAGCTGGACTTTCAATAGAGGTTCCCTCGCTCATCGTGCTTTTGGATGGCGGTATGGAAGTGCTCTGCCAGATTTGCAGCGAAAGCCGAGCATGTCGCAAGACCTTTCTGACGACCCAAGGTACGCCTTGCTGCTTTTCTTCAGTTAACTGGTGCCAATATATCTGTAATTTCACATACCAAACTAAAGACTTCGTCTGGATCGGTAGATAACTTTCGGTTCTAGCAGTGATGTTAAGATTTTTGGGATGCCCACGAGGACACGGAAAGACAGCGTACCAACACCCAACTTCCAGTCAGATCGGGGATATCTTCATAGTCGGTTACCACCATCATGGATCGGAGGAGTGATATTTGAAAATAAGACGTGAAAAAAGAGAGGGACCATGGAGGTTGGGCGCTGAGGTTGGGGAGAATCCTTCCTTTTAAATTTTCGATTGTTCAGCCACCAGAGAGGGATTCTCGCTCAAACTCGGAGTCGGACTCGGTGTCGGTATAGACAGGGAATGTACTGTGCATCTCTCTGTTTCTTTTTGATTTTATTTGCTGCATTCTCTTGCACAGGTCATCTCGAAGATCGCTGCAGCTGGTCAATACTATGATATTGGGTAGAAGACAGGAATTTGCGAAACCAACTCCTGCTCATTGTGTAGCGGGCTGTTGGATCTCATCTATATTGGCCTTTTCTGTGTAGTCCTCATGTTAACTACAGGTCTCGTGGTTCATTTTTGGGATTTTATCGTGTTGAGACAGGATCCCGTGATGGTCAGGCATCACCCCATCAGATAGATAGATAGTCGGGAGCCGAGCTTCCTTCCTAATACAACTCTCTCCCTCCTCTCTCTCTGAGTCCCACACTGTAGGCCTCAACATATTGCACCTGACACACTTTTCACTATACGATATCCAGACATGCTTTGCATATATTCTTGTAATCTGGTTACAAACCAGCTATATTTATACCTAGGTAGATACCGGCCTGGGACGGCCAATACAATCGACGACCAAGAGAACATTTGGGGAGAGAAGCGAACCGTATCATATACTATGGTATTAAACATCCATTGGAGCTTTCACAAGTTGCCTTAAGCACTCCATTAATTTCATCAAAGGCATATCACAGGGATCTTGCTCTTGGGTTATCACAATATCACGGATTAGGGTTGACCAGTGCTTTTTATGGACTGAGTCGCCCTCCTCTTGGTTCCAGCAAAGCTCAAGAGCGCGGTCGATATCTGCCATTGTTGTCGAGCTCCAATCAACCAACAATTGGACTTGGGTGACTAAACTGCCATCCAAATGAAACTGCCCAAACCGTATGCTTGGTAATGACAAAAGCATGGCTGCATCGGTCGGGGGTACGATGAGAAAGAGCTGGTACAAACGTGTGAAAACAGCACGATAGATGCGGACTAAGGTACAATGGGCCTCTAGCACGCCGAGCCATAGTGATATATCGCATTTGAGGCCAGGGGGAGTTGTTGTTGTTTGATCGGGGCTTGCTATCGTGGTACCATAGCCTGAGTCATGTGGGGATATTGTAGCAAACCCTTCATCTGTATTTTCACCAGCCTCCTGAAAGGTGAATACTGGGTCTTCAAACTTTCGAGGTTGGGTTTCGGGAAACGGAGAAGACGTCCGATTGGGGCTAGCCACTGTTGTCCCACATAAAGACTGGATGATTTCCAGGAGCCAAGAGGAGTGATCCAGCAGGCGATATATTGGAAGCTCAAGCGTTTCAATCGGCAAGTTATAGCTATCATGCAAAAGAGATGGGGATTGTGGGATCGTTAGCCCAGCCTCAAGAAGCTCTAAATCTTCCAGGAGTCCCATCTCTAGTTTTAACAGACTTCTGCGGAGACCTTGAGGAGAAAAAAAGGTTCTTTGGCATCTGGAAATTTGAAAGGCCTCGCCCGTACTCGCAAGACCTGAAAGATTCTCCCATCCAAAATCGGGAAGTTCCTTTGGAGTAAAGAGAGGTTCCACTCCGTTGCTGAGTGAATGAGTTTGTGAGGATGTTGAAACTGTGTTTTCAATTTTGGGCTTCTCATTTGGGAGGAAATGACTGGTAAGACTCGATGGACAGCAAGGCCCTTCTTCCTCGTGAGGATATGAATGGCTGAATGGCACGTAACCAGTAGGCTATATATTTCGTCAGTCAGGAGGCGAGATTTTTTGCTACTTCTTCTTTTCTTTTTATCCCTAACTTACATAGTTGTGAGCCTCTGTTGACCAGAAGGGATGCTGGTCACCCCATTGCTCGAGAGGTACCAACGCATTGGTCAAGTCCGAGGGCATGGTGAACCCAATGTCGCCCCGGGGTGGTATTATGTTGCCTCCAGGAAGAAGAGGGTTTACAGCTGATACTGCCCAGTATTGACGATCCTTTGTACTGTGGCTTCCTGCGGTTGGAGGGGAATAATGCAATGGCTTCTTCACTTTGGGACCGGACGATTTGTGGAGAACAGGCATTGATTCGCGGGAATGAGTGAACCTTTGGCTCTCACGCTCTCGAGACATAGAATTGCGGCCATGGTTTGACGGTAAAATGATCGGTGTGGGTTGGTTTACACTCGTGATGCATATTTCTTGCGCCTTAAGACAGCGCTCGCAAGACATGCCATTCATGATGTCGCGTTCACACCGTAGCTTTTGCCCACGACATCGATCACAAGCCGAGCGTCGAGAATGCCGATAATTGTAAGTTGGATGCATTTTTCAATTAGGAGGGGGATGATAAAAGTTGCCGCTAAGTACACCGAAACCTGCAATGTATTGTGAAGGGCTATAAGGGCACATATGTACCTTACTTTTGCCTCTGTAGAGGAACACGCGAATGGGTTTGAATACTCTTCGTTCATCTAGACAGACTTCAGACTCGAGAAAGTTAGATAGTCCTATTCAGAACTTGAGCCTTCGAACAAGGCCAGGAAAGCGCGTGGGTTGGTAACACCGCATCTGTAAACCTCTCTCTTGGAACACGATCCACCACATTCCTGAACGCGGGCTTACATGGTAATTCGTTAGATTATCGCCGCGCTGTATAATGTTCCTTTGAGGTGTGACAGGTGCTCGGGCTCTAGGAACCAGGTACACTCACAGATGTGTGTATAGACACGCGGACATGCCGATCAAAGTTCAAAATGATTTCCATCGCATCCATAACTTGAAGGCTGATCCCCAGAGCCCTGTTATGAGGTGCAGCAGAGGTTATGGAAGATGTTACACAGTTTACAACAGCCAGCAATGTATAAGGGACCGAGCCTGCGGTGATACAAAAGGGCATCCTGTCTCACATTGCCCTGCGTCTCAGAACCGACCTACTTTCCATAGCAGAACAACTCCTTGAGATAAACACGTCCCACCGTTCTCTGAACCGCTTGCAAATCTGCATCAGTAAGTGGAATGGCCAGCTTCAAAGGGTCAAGTTTAATGGTCGAACACACAGAATCCAATATTCCAAACAGAGCTCAACTGACCTGAAGTTGGACAGTTGACCAGGTATCCCCTAGAATGTATTGACGCCACTGAGTTTAACATCTACCCAAATAATATAGACCAGAGGCTAGATCAGGCCATGCACAACGAATGTGGAGACGGTTTTAATCTGGAAGATCGTTCTTCGCGTTGGGCCTGGGGTCAGGCAGACGTTCGGGGAATTACGACGATCCTGGACCCCAGTTGAAAAGAATCCTCCGACTTTAGTGCAAGCCCCCTATGTTTCCTTTTTATTCTCTGGGCTTCCTATCTATCCTCTTAACTACACCGACTCTTTGATTATCAACTGTTGAGGGTGCAAGAACGCAAGGGGTTGAAAGCCCGACTGGACCCATGGCCAGTGCGTGGTTGGATTTTAAACTTGAAAATGACGAACAAATATATTAGGCGAGATGAGTTATAATCCAAGGGAAGATACACCCATCTCCTGTACTGTTCTCTGTCGTGCCACGGAGGCCGTACGTAACCTGGTCAGATATCCGACATGTGTTTAGAATGAGCCAGGCAGCCGCCTATATCCCGGATTCGCGCCTAATATATCCGCCAAACTGGTTCCAGACGGAAACGATCAATGCTAGTGTTTCAGAACTGCGTGATGGCATTGTGTGGTTGTGGAGATCTAGCTACCAGGGGCATTCTTGACGGCTCGTTACGGCATGGGACTCCCCGAAGAATCAGACAACGATGAGCTAGTAGCGAGAGATCCACAAGCCATCAGGAGGTCTTACTCAGCTGAGGATGTTTAGTCCAATCCTTGATCATAACACGCACTCCTTGGCTGTCCTTCCGCGGATGACCATTGAACATGTCTCGTATGATTCGAACATCATCTACTGTAGTCTCATGTAGCTCCATCTCAAACTGTCGAAAGATAGTAGCGACTGCCAGGAGTATCTCTGCCCGTGCGAGACTGGTGAACCAAGGTTAGTTCAGGTTTTAAACGGATATTTTGGTGCTTGTATCTACATACGGGATGCCAATGCACTGTCTTGATCCTTTGCTGAAAGCAACCAGATACTTTTCCAGCTTTTTTCTCTGTTCTGGATCTACCCATCGTTCTGGGATGAATCTTTGAGAATCCGGAAATATATCTTCATTGTGGTGGATCAATAAGCTGGTCATTCCAACAGGTGTCTGAATTATAACATCAGCAAAAACAGTCGATCGGGTGGGGGGCCGAGCTGAAGGCCGACGAAGCAACCATACCCCGGGGGGAATGACCCAGTCTTTGTATGTCATGACTTGGTCGGGAGAGCTCCGTTGAAGCCTCGTTGCAACCGCGTTGGTGATTCTTCAGGAGTTAGTAATGGTGTGGCGCCAGGATGGATCGAGAGAGCGCGGCGGTGCATACCTTAAACCCTCCAGCATAACCGATGTCTGTTCCATTGTTAGATATAGATCTTGCTATACCTCTTATATTGTATATTAGTATATTACGCGCGGATAGACTCACAAGATATGGCATTGATTCGTATTCCACCAAAGAGGCCGTTCCGTTGGGATCTAACCGGTCCAGCTCTTCCCGGAGCCTTTGGAGCTTATCTGGGTTGTTGAGGAGATGGAAGGTGAGTGTCGTCAAGTTTTTTGCAGTTGTTTCTCCTCCAGCCGAGATGACAGTAAAAACCTCTTGGCTCAGGCGGCTAGGCGACTTCTCCTCTGGGGGAAGCTTGCTCTCCAGCAGCGCATGAAACAGAGTCCCTTTTGGCACGCTCATTTTATCATCTGCCAAATTTTCACCGGCCTGTTGACTTTCGATAATCAAATTTGCAAGTCGCAAACTCTCCATTTTTTGATCGATGACTGGGACAATATCAGGGTTAATACGCAAAACCAGCCACCGTGGAAGGAGCTCGAACACAGCCAACACCCAGCGGAACTGTTTGAATTGAACTCCGACTTGTACAATGGCCTCTATCGTTTTCGACCATTGTGGCGAAAAGTCGGGGTCATCCAAATAGTGGAATGACTCCCCCATAGAATATTCCACAACCACATCTGTCGTGTAGGCATTGAATGCATGATAAACATGCAGTGGTGTATGTCGGTCCCTCCACTTTCCTATTCCTTTACACAGCTTGTCAACCATTCCACGGAGCATAGGCTCCAGGTCCCGAATCCGTTGTTGAGAAAAGAATGGGTTCATGGGTTGTCGGCGAATGCGATGGCGGTGGTGATCGACCGAGCCGAAGGCAGAGGCCGGGGCCCCAAACATGCCAGTCAAATGTAAGGATTTGTTTCGCGGTTTGTCTCGAGAGTATAATGTCTCATAGTACACTGGGTCGTCAATGTGCAGTTCATGTGGACTGATTCTCACGATTGGGCCGTATTTTCGATGCATCTCAGCGATCTGGAAGATATATTGGCCTTCGAGGAACGAATCGTAATAGAATTCGTACCACATCGTCAGGGCTGCCAGTTTCGGTCCCGGGAAATGCGCGAGTGGCGAGAACCATAGCCGATAAATCGCCAACCACAATCCATAGGTCACCCAAAGGACGCCAATGGCCACGATGGGGTGTGCAAAAAGCATATTCCAGCACGCGGTCTTCACACTGAGAAAAAAGAAAGGGCTATGTGCTTGGACAAGAATACACAAAAATGCTCAACTTCCTGGCCAGTGCTTCTCCTTATTCTTCAGGATTGTTGCCCCACGCCGGTCGACAATATCATTATGCCACATTGGTCTGGATCCGTCCTCAACGGTTATTGGAATCCATGTTGTCGGTATTTCGTATGTCGTGGTTCTATGGAAGGGGAAAGACGCCGTGATAACCCCTGGGGCCTCGTGCATTAGCGATGTCTTCTATAACCTATCGCGGCACATCCGTAGCAACAGATGGCATATAATACGGACGCTAATTTGGCTGTGGGTCTAACACATATATCCGTAGTTGATGATTGACCGGTTTCATTTCATAGACGCGGCACGGATTTATGAGCCCCGGGGGGCTATTCACGGGCACGGGGATTTGGTGGAACGTCCAAGACTCCATATCATTCCCGGGAGGTAAAGATCGTGCAGGCTGAATATCAAGTGACAAGGGTAGAGATAGGCACAAGTAATCCATAGGGTACAGAGTACGGAGTATTCCGTAGTAACCAATTGCTTTTGCTCGGTACACTCCCCTTTTCTTTCTCCAAAACTGAGATGTTGGAAGTGCGAACGTTCCCGTTCTGGAATGGCGGGAAGTGTCAGAATGCCCACACAACGCCATTGTTCCAGGACGCAGGATCCCTCGACCCACAGGTACACCCCCTATTGAACGTACGGAGTGGACTCCGTACATATCAAGGTCGACCGCACTGACCTATCGTGATCTCGTATTCAATGCCGATACCTGCATTCTAAGTTCTGCAGCTCTGTACTCCGGACTAAGGCCGTCAAACTGCGTGACAAAACGCTCTTGATAATAGAGACTATTCTGTTCTTTCAGTTCCCGGAAATATAACCTCAACTGCCGTTTCGCCGAACGAAATGCCGTTGTGATCTGTATGTGAGACCAATGATAGGGAGTGCAGGGTGTATATTAAGTTGCTCTGGAGGAGTAAGTGGACATGCGCGGCTTCATGTCAGAGAACTGGAATATGCTAAAGACCAGTGTTAGAATACGTGCCACGTCAAGAACACGTCCAAAGTACGAGGGAATTCTGTCTTCGTACTTTGTGTGGATCCACCTCTCCCGTCTCGTACTTTGTCTATGTCGCTCAGCGCACGATGAGTGGAAATTCAAAACGGTGATCCTCATCTAGTGTGTCTGTTGTAGCCATACCCCACGAGAATTGAGAGCTCATTCTTCTACGGAGTAAAGGGAGACCGAAAAGAAAAATCCCCCATCCCCGTTCCAGTTCGGTGTGTTCATGTTCACTCCCGAGGTTCTTCTTACCGAGGTAGGTACTCCGTACTCCGTACATAAAAACCTATCTCTGCTTTCCAATGACCTTCCCCATTCAGATGTCGCATGATGCACAGCTCTTGCTCATTTGAGCCTATGCTGTGAATAATTTCTTGTCACCAAGTCAGACACCGGGGGGTTTGCAGCCGAGAAGCGTAGTCCCGAGGTCCCAATGCGGGGAAAGACCGGGCGTGGGGATACAAATGGGGATGTGAACAGCTTACGAGTCTTACGACAACGTCAAAATGAATTTCGAATTACCGGCAGATCTGAAAGCTCATCTAGAATCCATAGATTCTTTTGTTCACTCGGTAATTCTGCCGTTGCAGCGCGCGAATGACAATAACCGCTTCTTCGATCACCGTCGTGAGTATGCACGGACAGACTGGGAAAATAATGGGAACCCACGGAAGGAATGGGAAGCCTTATTGAGTCCGTTGAGCAAATCCCACTGAAGATTGAAGCTGATGGATGGGCAGCTCAGGCGCGCACTTTGGCTGATGCTTCTGGTTTCTACCGATTTGCCCTCCCTCGGGTTTACGGGGGACAGTCACACCCAGATGTGAACTTGTGGATGGCGTCCATTCGATATCACTTGAGCTCACACGCTGTCTACGGCGGGGCACTAGGACTCGCCAACGATTTACAAAATGAGCACAGTATCGTGGGAAATTTCCCGGATGTGTCGATGCTTCACCATTTTGGTAATCAGGAGCAACGAGATACTCTGATTCCTGCGCGTCTGCGGGGGAATTCCGAACAACGTTTGGCCTGACGGAGCCCGACCACGGGAGCGATGCAACTTATATGTCCACTACAGCTCATCAAACGGATGGAGGATTTGAGATCACAGGGGCCAAGAAGTGGCAGACAGGGGCGCACCATTGTACACACTTCCTCATCTTCGCACGGACCTCTAGCCAAGCAGGGTCAGCAAAGGGTATCACTGCGTTCTTAGTACCTCGTGAGACCTCAGGCGTACGCATTGCTAGCTATGAGTGGACGCTGAATATGCCCACCGATCACGCGACGGTGGAACTGGATAAGGTATGGGTGCCTCGATCGGCGGTCTTGGGGTCGGTCGACCAGGGTTTAGCCATCGTGCAGACATTTGTGCATGAAAACAGAATTCGTCAAGCAGCCAGCTCCTGTGGGGCCGCACGATACTGCCTCGATCGAAGCATCGAGCGGGCCCGCGCACGGAAGATATGGGGCGAAGGCAAGATGCTGGCTGATAACCAAGCTATCCAGTTTCCGGTTGTGGAATTGATGACACAAGTGGAGATGCTGCGATTGTTTATCTTCAAGACAAGCTGGGAGATGGACCGGATTGTGGCGGAGTGCCAGTCGTCTGACCCCCAGCGCCCGCCGTGGATTGAGATTGAACGCCGTCTCTCCGACCAGGTGGCCATGTGTAATTTCTGGGCGAATCGACTATGTTGTGAAGCTGCCGATCGAGCGATTCAGGTATGTTGGCCTGCCTTAGCTAATTTTTTGTCAGACATGGCTGACCCAGCAGATTCACGGAGGTGACGGATACTCTCGCCACTACCCTTTTGAACACATATATCGCCATTTTCGTCGTTACCGGATCACAGAAGGTGCAGAAGAGATTCAAATGCGCAAGATTGGAGCGTACATCTTTGGATTTGCAGGCCCAAAGAAGAAGATCATGGAGGGTGCTGAGCGTGCGAAGGCCAAAATTTGACCTCACCCCTGAGTTAACCACATTGTGGGGCTGTAGGCCAGGTCATGTTGACACAAGAGTCTGCATCGAAATGGCAATGGGCAGGTAGTTTGGAGTGGTGCCTAAGGAACTACCTAGGTAGGTACCTAGGTAGGTAGTACCGCAGAGTATGAAACATGCTCGTTGTAGAAGAAGCCATGCATTGGTTCGCGTACTCCGCACGGACTACTTACATAGGTAGGTACATCCACGCGACTCCCAAATGAGAAGTATTGCAGCCTGGGCTTTCAGGCGAAATATTAGGTTCAATGCCTTGTTGCCTTAGTGCCTGCATGCCTGCGTGCCTGGCTAGCGAGGCCACCAACTCTTAGCTTCAAACTAGCGCCCAGTAGGATTTTCACCAACGCTTTTTGGGAAAAGGTTATTGATATTAAGCTCGGTACCTTGCAAGGCACTGAAGGAGTTTGCTTCCCGACTATGGAGAAGGCTTCACATATGTTGCAAGTGTTTAATGTACATTACACCCAATCGATCACCCTGATATACATAGATGTACATGGACATCTAGGTGCGTAAATATACATCCACGTACACCTCAGAATGCCCTGTAAGAACCTTGTACGTATATGCCCCAACAGGCTCTCTAATAACCTGTCATACTCCATGCTCTAAAACAAATTCCACCTTGCGGATGGCTCGGGGCTAGTTACCTAAAATTCTACAATTTCGACTCCACGCCTTTCTTGGGACCCCGCCGAGCCCGTTCAAGCGAAAGTGGCAGCGCTCTGAGAAAAAAAAAAAAAAAGGAAACAAAACCAAACACAACACAACCTTGACAGAAACAAAATCTCCCCCGCAGAAGGCTGTGATAGGCTCATCTTTATCATTTCTGCTGTGTCTTGGATACCCTGCAGCTCACCATGCCTGACAAGGCCTCTCATGACGCTGGCTCAGCGCCACACGGCGACACCAAAACACCAATTGTCTCTGCAGACTCGAAGAATGTCTTTCAAGATACCAAGAAGCCCGATGCCGAGCAAAATTATCCCGATGACTCAAACCCGAAGGAACTGAAGCGGGCGTTGAAAAGCAGACATTTGCAGATGATTGCAATCGGTATGTCTACATCCTGGGCTTCTCAATCAAGCTTGATATCGGTACATACTTACCTCGTTTGCTCTTAGGTGGAACTATCGGCACAGGTACTTTTCGTTGTTCTCCTGCCTCCAGATGAATCCTCAATTCTAACCCACATAGGTCTGTTCATCTCCAGCGGCACCGCCATCGCAACCTCCGGTCCAGCAGGCGCCTTGATCGCCTATATCTTTGTCGGTTCAATTGTCTACTCCGTCATGGGCTCCCTGGGTGAGGTCGCAACTTATATTCCGATCACTGGCGCCTTCACATCGTATGCCGCCCGGCTGATCGACCCGAGTCTCGGCTTTTCCATGGGCTGGATCTATTGGTTCAATTGGGCCTCCACGTTTGCTGTCGAACTGACTGCCACCGGTACCATCATTCAGTATTGGGATCCTAGTCTGAACATTGCCATTTTTATCGGAGTCTTCTGGGTGTTAATCACGGCTATGAACTTCTTGCCCGTCAATTGTTACGGCGAGGTCGAGTTCTGGTTTTCAACGATCAAAGTGGCCACTGTGATTGGGTTCATCATCTTCGCTATTTGCATCGATGCTGGGGTTGGTGAGAAGGGCTATCTAGGCTTTCGCTACTGGCATACGCCTGGGGCCTTTGCCACGTATAGCCCCCAATTGCCGGAATCTATTGGAAAATTCGTTGGATTCTGGGCTGTTCTTATTCAAGCCGGATTTTCCTACCAAGGTACGGAGCTTGTTGGTGTGGCAGCGGGAGAAACCGAGAATCCACAGAAGACAGTTCCGTCTGCTATCCGCAAGACCTTTGTTCGGATCCTTCTATTTTTCGTGTTAACCATTTTCTTCATTGGGCTTGTGGTTCCCTATGATAATAGTCGTCTTGCAACTGCGGAAACGAATGCATCGTCTTCGCCTATGGTGATCGCGGCTGATCTAGCAGGAGTGAAGGTGCTTCCAAGCTTGATCAATGCTGTCCTCTTGTCCGTGGTCTTATCAGCCGCAAACTCCAATGTCTATAGTGGCAGTCGAATCTTGACCGGATTGGCAAATGAAGGGTTCGCTCCGGCGTGCTTCGGCTGGGTGACCAAGCACGGCGTTCCCTATATCAGTGTGATTTTCACCGCTCTGTTTGGTCTATTGGGTTTCATGAATGTTTCCAATGACGCTGGCCAAGTCTTCACTTGGCTCGTGAACCTTTCTAGCGTTGCGGGTTTCGTGACCTGGGCCTCAATCAATGCATGTCATATTGCCTTTATGCGTGCGTTGGCATCCCGTGGGGTTTCTCGCGATACCCTTCCATACAAGGCTATCTTGCAACCATATCTGGCTTGGTACGGTTTGTTCTTCAACATCCTCATTGCCCTCACTCAGGGCTTCACTTCGTTCATACCGCACTTCCGAGTCTCAGACTTCTTCGTCGCCTACATTTGTCCTATCCTTTTCGTGGTCCTCTATCTTGGACACAAGGTGATTTACCGGACGTCATTTGTGAGTTCAGCCAATGCTGATATTGATACTGGCCGCCTGCATTATGAAAAGGAGAATGTCACTCCCAGGCCATGGTATTCAAAGGTCTGGGGCTGGGTCTCAAAGTGAGAGCGCATACCTGTATATTTTCCATCATTTGTCTTCAATTTGATATGTCATTAGCGCAAGGCATAGGGTTCTGAGATTGCTTGCGAGACATCGATGTAAGCTTTGTTTTGGTGGGACATCAACCAACAGTTCCCCCAAGTAATATATGTATAATAGGTTTAGCTCTTCTCGGCAGTCATTTAAGGGGGCACTTCGCCCCAGTTTCTATCGAGCAGTCCTCAGAGGCACCAGAATGGCCTCATGTGGCATACCTCGGCAGTACGTCGACATATCCTGTAATCCGCTATATCCACTTGAACTGCCGTGCGATCACACAGAAGCCACCCATCAATGCGGTTGCACCGGTGCAAACAACAAGTGTGCCATAGCCACTTCCATAGGCACCCAGGGCATGTCCTTTCCAATTATCTGCTTTGAGCAAAGCCTCACTTAGGGGGCCGCTTGCAACATTGCCAATTCCACGACCTGTTTCCATGAATGGAAAAATTACTGTCGCATCGGCAGACGGATTGGCCTTTTGCACCTCATTAGACACACCCGCCCATGTGGAAGAGAACCCGCCTGCCAGAAGACCGTATGCAATACAAAAGACATAAAGAGGGGGGATAGTGACGGCGAAGCCCCAAGCAAAGAAAACCGCCAGAACAGTACCCACGGTTGACATCAAGATGCAGGTAGTGATGTGATATCGGTCGGAGAGAAATCCCATGGCAACAGAACCAAACACTGAGAACAAGTTGACAAGAGTCACTGTGAGAGACGCCATGAAATCGGTTGCACCTATACTGCGCGCGTATGTTGGGAGGTAAATAGTCGGTAAGAAAAATCCAACGGCTTCTAGAGTGTTCCCGAGCTGATAGATAATGAAGACTTTGTTGTACAAAAAGCGAAAATTGAGCCGGTGATATGCGACCTCGGTCTGAGGCAGCCTTGGTCGATGGAAATAGAGGAAAGGCACGGAAAGAATGAACAGTGTCACCGATGATACCTGGAGAGTGGTCTTGATTCCGTACTGGTCCAGGAGCCACTGGATGGCGAGGGGGAAGATGATCCCAGACAAACCGGATCCGCCCTAGCAATATAGATGAGCTTCAGATATCTCGAGTAAACCGGGATGGCGAACGTGTTATCTAACTCACCCAAACGATACCAAAGGCAAGGCCTTTTCGTTTATCAAACCATTCAGACATGAATAGAATGGTCGGAGTGTATGCTAAACAGCCACCAATTCCAAAACCAACTCCTTGGGACAGAATCAGATGCGAGACATTGGTGGAGAAGGAACTGAGTGCCAAAGACAAACACATGATCACAACTCCAATTGTTGACACCCATCGTGCAATTTTAGGCACTAAAATCATTACAATGATTGCCAACGGGGCAATCAGATATGCTAGGCCCTAGGCATTTCGTTAGCGAAGAGCACTCGGACTTGCCATATGTTGAAGACTCACCATAGCACAAGTGCCAATGACAGCAATGTTGCCTGATCCCTTGAAGGGTTCATGTGCACTATAATAGTCTTGAAATATACCGAAGGCGAATGCATAACCTACACGGTAGTCAGTCTCGACCCGCAATTGAAAGAAAACGAACAGCGGATAATCAAGGATCATGTACCCCAAACTAGAGCTTCAAGTACTGCAGAAGCCATCAGAAACAGCCATGCCTGGGTACCACCATCGATTGGGGGCAGTTCCTTATCATCCACGATGATTTTGCTATCAGACTGTTGGTCGCAAGGAAGGAATGACGTGCTCCTGCTCGTCAAACTAGGTGGATATTCCTTGAGCTTCATGGTGTAGAATTTCACGACTCTGTGTTGATGTGGTAGTCGGAAATTTGGAAGTACAAAGTGTTCTGGACGTGAAAAAACACGGAAACACGTCCTTCCAAAAGGGTTTATATTCGGTACAATTATTTAAAATGAGCACCGGGATCGTCAGAGGAAAGAACAATAAGCTAATGGAAGCTAGCTGCATGACGAAATAGATCTCCTTGACTATAATTCTTCCAATCAGCGTGCTGGGAAGTTAATGCAAAGCACGTACCTGGAATCCAGGTCGGCTTAACCTGAGCAATGTGATTGAATTCCTAGATATACTAATTCAGTCAGTCTGATAGGTCACGCGCCTGACTATATCGCACCAGAACTATGCCTTGGTCGTGAGTCGGCATCGAAAATCCCCTCGATGGATTACCTTTCATTGTTCAACTCGTCGGAATACTGGCAACGGCAGATCGCACTTTGCCGGAACTTCAGCGTGTGTCCATCGGATGCGGGATCTGCTTCAGCAATCCTAGAGAAATGTCAAGAGCCTCGTCAAGGCTTGGCCCACTGGGTGGGTGCATCGACTGCCCCGCTGAGTGGCTCGAACGGGCAATGGAATGTTGATCGGAACCACCACATAACATAGCTAGTGGTGGGTTCGGAGAGTTCCATATTGATAACAGATATCAAGCCCGCTGTCATTGGCAGGATAAAGTACCGAAGAATAATAGCCTTTTCTTTGGTAGACCAGACGTGATGGCTAGATAGGGCCCATCAACACTTTCCGACGATCTTACCTCTGAACCGCTTCATCTAGAATGGAGGCACGGATGCCATTTAGACCTCCGTCCAACCCATCAATTGTATTCTAGGCTGCAAGTGAAAAGAAAGAGTTTGACCTATCGGGGATTGAACGAGCCATAGCAAGTAGAACATGCTGTAACCGCTAAAAGGTTGAGCGACATTCCAGCCAACGAAGCTCACGTAAGGCTAATTGTCGAGCCAGAGGGAATGATCTCCTGGTGCTATTGAAGATTCCATTTCGATCATAGTCAATGATAGCTCTGTTTATCAATTCTTCATAACCTGGATTTTCGTTCACTGTAGTCCTGATGTCATTAGTCTCCATTGGTTGTTTCGGCAAAAAAGCCCCAAGTCAACGCGCGTTCAGACATACCAACGAGAACTTGAATTATTCTGTTCATCAAGCTTGTCCCATGTCTTCCTCTCTTGGAATCCCCAGATAAGTTGACATGAGGGTCTCCACCGGCGGAAGGAGTATGAAACTCGGAGGTTTCCGACATAGACCAGGAACCAATGCTAGCTACCACGGGGATATGCCCGGCGACCCGGCCACTGGCCCACCTCACTCCACCAGGATTCCACGGCTGGAGTATATCAAATCTCAGCCTAGGCGTGTTGGTGTCCTCTTGTTTGTCAGCACGCTTGCTCTTGATCACGAAATCATCGGTGCCCTTACTGCTCAGTATTGAGGGCCAAAGCACCGTCGAACTCTTCACAGTGGCATTCATGCAGCACGTGATCAGAAAAGGACTCAATGTAATAAGTACATCAGAATCGTTGTAGATATCGTAGCGAGAACCCAAGGGCAGAAGATCGGGCACTCTGTCTGTCAGCACTACTTGAACAAACCTAGGTAGGACACTGTACTCTTTGGTGTGATCCAGCGCCAGCCCTGGATATGACAGGTTTTGACAGGTTCTAGGCTATCCTTTTACTTCATAACTATGAAGGCTTTCTACCACTGCTGTCTTGATTCTGTTCCCTTTCTCCGTCGCTGTTGAATTTTGCCGCTGGATACGTCTTGTATATTTAGCGGGAGGCGGGTGGTAGCGAGCTTAGTGCGGTAGGCGAGTCGCTTCTGGTTGATCTATATATCCTTGCTGTGTACCTTTTGGTTAGCACGGGACAGAGTCTGATGATCATCAATAAATTCAAAGGCGTCGACATAAGATATAGTCAAGTCGAGTGTCGATTCGCACACCAACAGTAAGCACTCTCTATACATGAGACCTCGGGAAGGGAGAAAAGATAGGCGACCAAAGCACCGAAGAAATAGGGACTTGGAGATTGTTGAGTAGCAAGGAAAATTTACAAAACAGGACTGTATCAGAAGGAGAGACAAATATGAACATCTTCTTTGGTATCATCCTGTATCCTATGTTCTTAGTATTCACTTATAACTTTCAGTAGGGCAGTTCAATTGATTGAGTGGGTCTGAGGCATACTGACTGCGAGTTTTGAAAGACAATAGATCAAACTCAGAAATTTGCCGCATCTGGCAATTTCTCGGGAGTATCGCTTCGAAAGCTGTTTGTGATCAAGTTCCCAAAGGAGGGCGACCAATCCACACGCGGAGAAAGAGTATCTAATTCCCAAAGCTCGGAGACAAATTTGAGGATGGAAGTGTGCGTAAACTCGTTCCCCTCGCTTGATTGATGTTGGACTAAGCCCTTGGCGACCCAGGGGGAGATTAGAACTGTCGGAACTCGAACCCCTAAGCGATCAAACCGGAAAGTGTATTGCTGGCCATCCCGGGCGTCTTCCGTGTAGATCAGACTGTCGCCCGCGGGAACTTCAGTTGGGGGTGGAACGTGGTCTGCGAAACCACCATGTTCGTCCCAGATCAGAATGAAGAGGGTCTCGTTCCACTGCGGGGAGTTCCGCACAGCCTCATAGATGCTCTTGACGAAGTTCTCGCCCATGTTGATTGGAGATGGGGGATGCATTGACATGTAAGAGCAGCACTCGGGATTGATCCACGTGAATTGTGGGAGGTTTCCAGCGTGAGCATCAGTATAAAATTGGGAAATCGGAAGGATTTTGTCTTTGCCATTCTTCGCAGTCCAATCATAGAACATGGCGTCGGGCAAAAATGGAGGATCGGACTTGGTTGAGTTTTCATAGTTCCTCCATGTAATACCCTTGTCCGATAACTGCTCGAAGATGGACTTTTGTGGCAGCGCAGAGTTGAGGAAGTCGGCATCGTTGGCGCCATGGCCGTGTGAAGTGCCCGAGGTTAAGTAGGCGCGGTTGGGGTTTGTAGGACCGGGAACGGCAGCAAACCAGCGGTCAAACAAGACAAAGTTCTGGGCGATGGTTTTGAAGACAGGAATATTTTCTGGGGCAAAGTAGTTGATCGCCTCAGATGCCCGGTCGAGGTCGTCCTTTGGGTAGGAGCCACGCTGCTCACTGATGAACCCATCCATAGAAGACTTAGATCCTACTACCGGGTGATAGGTGCCAAATATCTGCATGTTACCTCCTGCAATGCTGTGATTTGGGTCGTCCGATGCGATGTTCTTTGCGATCGGGTTGGCGCAGACCTGTCCCGAGTTAGGCAGAGAAATATTGGCGGGATTGCAAAACTGAGGATTCTGCGGGCCATCGATGCTGGAGTCATAGTCAAGACCACCCGCAAAATGGTCAAAGGACAGGTTTTCCTGTACCAAAACCACAATGTTTTTGATGTTGCTCATCCCCGATGAAGCGGGTAGCGCTGTGGCGCCCAGACTTAGGGCAAGGAGAACTAAAGAACGCGCCATTGGAAAAGATGAAAAATTGCCGGGTCATTGGCATTGGTCTTATAAGTCTTTCTGTATCTTTTTTACTTTGTGACATGCTTCCCCCGTCTCAGAACCTCCTTCGATCGCATGTGTCGACACCAATCTGGCTGCACTGTCGATCAACAGCTCTGGAGGCCGAGTCGCCTGCGTCGGCGCATGGGCCACGAGGTCCTTGTCATTGGCCCAACTCCTCCCTTGTCTCCGACCACTTTTGTCCCAAAAGACCAACGGATGTTCCCATTTTTATGACATTGGAGGGAGTTCACTTAGGCACACCATATCACAAATAACGTGATGGGTTCCAATCCTCCGATTCGACCGAGAATCCAGGTACATCCACCAAGTTGGATATGTCGGTACATGTCCCTGGGTTGTTTTAGAGTATTGCAATCAACTTTGAATCCAGGCTGTTCTCGCATGATTCATAATGACATCAAGTACACTGGGTTTTGCTTTATGTCTCTTCTGCGTGGATCAAATGGAATCCGACTCGAACGTGCTTGGCTCGTCACCGCACATTCCCCTCGCGGCAATACGCTTTCAGATGATCACCGTGATCACCAATCTTTGGCTTGGAGCGTGTCATGGACATCGCTCTTGTGATTATTTGATGAGCTAGTACTCATCATAGGTCATCGGGGTACAAGCCCAGGGGCGACAAATACTCGGACTACTCATGAAAATCAATTGTTTAGGTCGGAGTGTTGGTCCCAACTTCATTGAAGTTGAGGAATAGAATCTGCTGGCACTTCCTATCAAGACCAAACCGTCGCAGTTCATTTGGATCTGACTAAGTCATCTCGTCAATCTCATCGCGTGGAAGGCCGAAGTCAAGCTCGGGTCTTCTGGAAAAGTAAATAGCATAGTGGCGGGTGGCAGTGGGCTTATCAGGAAAGCCGGATAGAATATGCCTTTGCCAATTGGCAAGAAGCTCGTATGCGAGCTCGGAATTTGGCACCCAGTTTGGGATGTTGGATGGTAAACTTTCTCACCAGCTTGTCTCAATCCTGAACCCACTGCGCTCCACGCTCAGGGATCCGCTGGAAAAAGGTGTGCCCGATTTGCCAATGACCAAGTGCTCATTGAGGTCGAAGCCATAAGCAATCTTCATTTCAGCAATACTTTCGACGCCGGAAGCAGCACCATGCACTACGGCAGTTCCAGCCACGTTGCTATACGGACCGATGATCGTGTTGACAGTAATAAAAGTGGGATTTTGCTTCGATGCACACACAGCCTTGCTCCGATGCACGAACAAAGGCTTCCATGTTGAAGGATCCATCTGCGGCTTCAATCACATCCCAGCCACAGGATCGCATCTTTGCGCTCACATCTTCGGTATTGGTAATGTCGACTGATCCATCGCACTTAATTTGGTTGTTGTAGTAGATACCAGTGAGATCGCCTCGAAACCAACACCCTCTTGCAAGCAAGCATCACCAAGTATACACCAAGTATGATTGTCAACCACGTCAAAGCCTGGACGATTGTAGGTGGCGGCAAGATTCTTCGTCGCCATAGCCAGGCCCGCAGCATTTGTAATACCCCGACCTAATGGTCCTGTGGTCACTCCAATCCCTTCATGTTCAATCTCACGGTTACCGGGGCATAATGCATCAGTACAACTTGAGTGATGCGACTTGAGCTGCTCAAAGCTCATGGCTTTGTAGCCGGTAAGGTGCAGGAAACTGTATTGGAAGAGGCAAGTATGGCCTACGGATTTCATCCAAGTCCCACACTCTCCCTGATAGAAGTAAAACTAAGTGAAAGATTGACCATTTGACAGAACAAAGTGATCTCGATTGAAGAATTCCGGAGTGTGGGGTGCGTAACGCATCGGTACTTCCATAACGAAACTCCGATCGCAGCCATTCCAAGGGCACCAGTAACATACTGGTGAGCTCGGGAATATATGTGGCTGACTCTGCTAGATCAATTTCCGGTTCATTAACCGCTACCATGGCACCTGGTCCCCAGCAATTGCGTATCTTAATAGTGAAATGATGGGCCTGAAGAGGCTTGTGTCGAGTGTATCCCTCCTTAAAAGGGCGCAGGATGCGCTGCACCTCTACGCCGATACTCGAAACGGGAGCATCATGTGCTCGTGGGAGATAAACAAGAAGCTTCGTTACACATAGGCGGTATCATAACTATTCGGCATAATAGCAATTCGAATATGAGTCTATTCCCGAGAACCAAGGACGCAGTTTGGTATTATATACTAGTTTGTGCCTGCCAGACGCCATGTTTCAAGTCCCAGCTTTCACTTGTAGCAGTGTCCTTCAAAATGCTGACTGGCAAAATATCGACTCGATAACGGGAATTGGGTCTTTGGATGAGTGAGCACCAGGGCTGAGGAATGTGTTGTGGCCAGTGCATTCAGGGCCACTGTGGGATTGTTAGTGGAAGTCCCCTCATTCATGATTACTGGACTTACGTGAAGAGACGGCATGGCTTTTTCAGAGATACAGTGAGTACGTCCCTGTTCGTCGTCAGTCTGAGGCAAAGTCTCCCGGTGGGATATCAAACTCACTCTTCCTCGATGGGATGGCAATCATCCAATGGTACGTCGATACCCCGGCTCTTGTCAGCTGTCTCAATGCCCACCTACGCAGTTTCGTTAGCAATCAATCCCGAACTCTGGGGAGAGGCTTGGACATGCGCACAGTAGTTCGTTTGGAGTCTTTCGCTGCCGACACCGAAAGAAGCATCAAGCTCAAAAGCGACAACTGTTTCAGACCGAACATGATGGCGATACAGATCTGAGGGTGTGGAAGAGCCGGTATTGCTGAGCTGGGAGTACGGAGTACTCGGGGCTAATGATTCACAGAAATGCCATCTGTCTTTTCTTTTCTTTTTCTATCCCTTGCGTCTGCTGCAAGTGCCAGGGGTAACGGCCTGCATTTCAAACGGCCCCCTTTTTTGACAGCGCCTGGTCGAGTATTCCCAGGTGCAGAGTACTCCGTACTGGAGATCTGGTCGTTGTCCATAGGTGCCCAGGTGAGTGAGAGACAATCACCTCCATGTTCCAGTGCTGATCACGGCCCACCAACTTCGACTCCTCGATTTCCTGAATCTTCTGGATTTTGGCCTTAATTCAACTTGCTCCATGCTTTCCCGACCTAAATAACGCCGTCTCGATCATGGTTCGGCTCAATTCCCTCTGAACGAAATAGCAGAGTCATCGCATATCTCATCCCCGACCAAATATCTCCGCTGGTCCTCGCGCGTCGCTTTCATACGCATCCGACGACTCCGATGCTTCCCCAGCGTTTGCGTCTCCATTGGGCCGTGCCAGTTGGGTCCACGATGGTTTCTCCCATGATCCAGGGTTCCTAGCATCCCAGCAGGAGCTTCAATATTGCGCAGTCCGTAGCACCGACCCGCGCCCCAAGCCCATATACCCCGGAAGAGACAGCGTAGTGCCACGACGAGGAGCACACAGGAACGCATCCTGTGTTGTCAAGTCCCATGTACTGAGTATTTGAAAAACTACTGCCTTCATCGCCCAGATATATCTTCCAACTCTAACGCGCCCAATGATTCAACATATCCTTAAATTTTTGTCGGTGAATCCGGCACCCCATGCATCCATGCAACATCTGGTCAGTTTGGTTTTCCTCTGCCGGTCCATGGCAGTGAGGCCAAAGTTGGACAGCTTCAATGTCGAAGGGTCCCAATTAGGAAGATGCCAAGCCCCGAATGAGGAAGGTCTAACCCCCGCCCCGAGGTCACCTGATCTGGTTTGTCATCTCCAGGTCCGGTCGCTTTGCTCCGGGGCCGTTTAGACATAGTGACAGTACGGAGTAAAGACAAGAACCTTGGAAATACGAAAGATGCGGTCAAATTTCAGCCAATGCTCCAAATGAATCTGTCAGTCTCAGAAACCGTCCGGCTAACACGTCAACCAACTATAGTTGCTTCGCAACCAGACCTCGGCTCCTCCTCCATTCGTCTACAATTCCAGCATATGCTGAAGGCCCATACACGCCGGTCAACTCTGTGTACAATCCTCCTCCAAGCCGGTATGGGTTCAGCCCCAGATCTCGCATGAGCATGTCATTGTACTATGGCAATAGTTAGAGTGTGTTCCTGTCATGAGTTTTCGAAATAAACATACTTGGATAGCATCGACTTCAAGACCAGTCCCTGTCATTGAGCCCAGAACCACATCCTCCGAGATAGCTGCCTTCATCTCTTCAATAGAAAGATTCGCAAGGGACAGCGTTTTGCTTGGGATTGGCTTCGTGTCCTCCGGTCCCTCGAGCTCTCCTGTCAGAAATGCCGCCACCCAAAGGGCTTGAACCTCTGCAACAACCGCAATCGTCGATGACAAAATTATTCCGACCGTAGCAAACGAGCGATCACCTTGCGCGACCAACTCAGGGGCAACCATACGGCGGAACAATCGATATGGCACCAGCTTGTGGGACCTAGCCCATGAGGGAGGATTACGATCTGGAAGGGCACATTTCGTTGAATGCAAAGTCTTCCGGACCATGATCTCGGATTGTCGATCAAGACCATCCCAGTGTTCAATGCCATCCTTTATGGTTGTTTCAAGGGGCCCAACAATTCGCTCTGGTGACTCTGCTGGAATTAACGGACTTTCGAGGATCTCCCGATTCCCCAAGTCTGCGTCTACCAAGGCCGATAAGCCTAATCTCAAGCGGAGACTTGGAGGTTCCAATCGTATTGGGACGATTGGCTTATATCCGGTTGCGTGGATAACAAGATCAAGCTCATCAATGCGATTGTTATCCGCCAAATGCACTGCAACCTTTGTCGCTGAATCCATGGGTTCATCTGCGCTGTTCGTCACAATATCTGCGATTTCCGATCGATAGACATTGACATGCGGTAACCTAATAGCCTCCCAGAGGTCACCTTGGTTCGCGATCCCAATGCCAGATGTGCACGAGACAACACTAGACAGCATCAATTACCCTTGTTCCATATGGCGTCTCACTAGACATACCTGTTCTCTGGCCGTAGCTTTGCCATCTTCGGGTCCGAGTCATACTGTGCTGTTTTCTCCAGGCCTCTATCGACTGATCGCCAGAACCAACGAATCCACCACCGACCTAGGGGATTACCATGTAATAGCCGCGCCAGCCATGAGCCTTCCCAATGAAGAGTCCCTGAGGGTCCGAGTGACAGCCGCATTGGAGTCTCATAGCAGCAAGGGGTAAGATGAGTGAGCAAGCGGGTGCTTGCAGCCTTGTCGCTTGCAACCGTGTCACCATTTGGGAGAGTGGACATTGGCGGCACCATCCAAGCTGGCCCTACACCTCGGTCGCGGATTATCCAGTGCACTTCAACTGGCTTTTCCTGTCTAGACTTGAGGTGCAGCTTTGAATCGTTACGATGCAAAGTTGCAAAGAAGTGGACAAGATCAAAAGAAGATTTTGCACCACCATAAATGGCAACTGATCTCAATTGCGCATAAGGAGATTCATTGACTGGAACACTCACGGCCTCAGACTCTGGTTCTCTCAGCGGCCGGTATCCCATATGCTCTCGAGCCCAATGTCCAACGTCCTTGGCGTGAATGACTCGGGCAGGACTCCCAGAGGCCAATAACGATCCGTTTATGTCCGGCACGTTTGGGACCGAGGTCAATCCCGTAGCTAGGACCAATTTATCGCAAATTAAGGCGATATGCCGCCCTGGGGTTGTGGAAACACTGATATTGAGCTTCCACTCTCTGCTCTCAAGACGGCTGATATCGTCAACCTAGGCAGTGTTCAGTGATGTCGTAAGGAATGGGGTCAGGAAACCATACCGTCCAGTTCAGTCGAATGTGCTTTTTAAGCTTCCATTTATCAACCCAAGTATGAAGATAGTGATTGATCTTCCAGCCAGCAATGAACTGGTTTCTTGCATCATCCTCATGTTCCTCGGGAACAACGTCGGAGAGAGAAAGGTCGCTGAACTCATACAGCCCATAGGAGTTCTGGCTTAACAAGTTGGGATAAAGGCGCTCCTCCGACCAAGTCCCCCCGATGTCCGAGGCCGAGTCAATCACAAGAAGACGACATTCGGTCGCTTTTGTGGACCTCTCGAGATTTTCTGTAAAACATGCAGGAAGTTCAGGGATCTCGGTACTTTCGGCTGTGTCTTCGTCATATGCCCCGAGAACCTGTAGATATGTCTTCGCTGCAATGAGACCGTAAAGACCTAGGAAGTCAGTTCTACCTAGTCCAACTGGATTATTAAATGTTACCAACCTGCGCCGACAATCACAACTCGCTCCATCGCTGAGGTCCTTGGGGAGGAAAACTTGAAGGGCGAGGAAAGGGCAATGTTCTGTTCGAGAGAACAATGAAAACGAACAATACCTCCCGGTTAGTGTCTTAATATTGTTCTTGTGGGGACAATAATCACACGGATTTGATTTGATGTGATTTGATTTCTTTCTCTTTTCGACGTGACTATGTACTCAGTACGGCGTACTCCGTAGTATCGTCTGGAATTCATCTTGCATTCAATTTGATAGCCATTTGAGGTCACCAAGAGTTTGCTTGACTCGTTGAACTTGATTTACTGTCACTCTCGGGCTTGGCTCTCCTGATATGATCTGCATAATGCCATGCTCGACTGTCTACTTTTCGGGGCCTGTTTATTTAACCCCATGGGCCAACCCTTATACCATCAAGCATCGCCTCCGTCTCTCGGGTGAGACAGTGTGTGCTGCTTGTCTGAACGAGACAGTAGATCGGTTCGTACGATCGTGGAATTCGCCAAAATGAGTTCCCATTTTCCCCTTGAGGAAACCAGCAGAGAGAAAATTTGGTATCATCGTCATCAGAATCATATGGATGGGCAATGAGGGACCCAGGAAGATCCATCAGCACATTCTCCGGGCAATCTACATATGTATTTTATTGGACTCGTGTATCTCTTTTGGTCCGCTACCTTGTACACAATCCGATACCAACACTCAGTCTGAACTTCGGTCAGGGCATTGATTGAATGGGAACTTTTATCTCAATTCTCAGTCTTCTCCGATTTGGCATGACGACCTGCGACCGATAGCGTGCCAAGCTGGATCGCAACTCCCGATGGAGACATCAGCTCCTATCTTAGTATTAGACCTGGCCCCAGGGTCGATGCCTACATTGCTTCCGGCTAATATTCTACACCGCCGATTGTCGGTGCGATGCCGTGACAAAAAGTGGCTTGTTGAGACTGATCTAGAACTCGGCTGGCTTTCTCGGGTTTGCTACGGAGTACAAGGGGGTCGGATTCGTGTTCACAGATATACTCACGCGGTCCTGTAGTCGGTCGCCAAGGATGACATTCAAAAGGAGTTTTTCGCGATAGATACGGAGTCGCCGTAGGCTTCTATGGGCACCAGGGGATACGGACAGCCTGGCGTGCATACAGGCACAGAACAAGTTGACTCGATTCGGAGAACCTTTTGTTTCTCTTTTTTGATCTTTTTTTGTCCCCTTCTCTTTTTATCTATGGCGACCCAATGGTGATCGGGTTTGAAGTGTTGTCCATATGTCGTAGCAAATGATATCAAGTGCCATCCCCGCTCCCACAGCATTTCGTTTACCTCGTTGATTGCAGCCGATGTTTATTGACAAGAAAAGCGAGGCATTATCAACAATCAAGTGCCTTTACTATATCGTCAAAGCAACGGATAACTCCGAGACCTCATCGTGTGATAGAGAAGTGCACCTAGTTAGAGGTCATCAGATCTTTCTAACGGCATAATGCCAGCGAGTCTGACAGCTCACTTGCCACCTGGCATGCAGGGTACAATCCAGACAGAGATTGAACCTCCAGAATATAGTTACTGGGTCCGTTGAACCCCCCCTGCCCTCTGCATCTCACAGATAACAACCCATAGACCTAGACCGCTCATGTGATCGGCTCCGTGTGCCATCGTTGGGAGGGGAGGGTTGAATTGATGTCGTACTTTGCCCCGAGGAAATAGCTACAGCTCCTCAAGGAGAAATATACATAGTCCATCAAGCCAGGATGTTGAGTTGTGGATTCGAGGAGGGGAAAGCTTCTTGTCCATAATCTTCTTCCGCATCCTTGGAAGCTACCTACCTAGGTAGTGTGTTCCGATTCGAGATGATCTCTCGTATCTTAGAACAAAAGTACTCTTGCACATGATAGTCCGGGCTCATGTCAAGTAGCTGCCCTGTTATTTTCGCAGACATCATTTTCTTTCTATCGGAAAAGCCAAACCTTTGCAAAAGGACGGTCGCCTTGAGATTCACCATTGTAGGTAACGCCATTGTGGAATCTAGAAATGGTTAGGTGACACTCAAGGTAAATCTGGTGCATATATATGGCAAGTCACACTACGGAGTCAATAGCGTATCATTCATCATCTCGGCAGTCCTCGCATGGGCCCGGGTGTCAGTGAGAAATTGTCCTTGGTAACCTTGAAGGCTCAATATCAACGTTTGTAGGTCACACATGAGACATTATATTCTTTGAGGTCGTGAGTCAAGGCAAACTAAAACTTAGGATGGGCTGTGGGCGATGGGAGTAATAAACCAAATGCCTAGATACACTTGTCTGGGGATTTGGAATTTCTCAGTACTCCGTACAGCCTCGGGATATTGTTAGTATGGAGGGTTGATACCTTACATCCTAGAAGCCCCGCAAGAAAATCGGCCAGAAAACCGGCCATCCGAGTGGCGTGCATCAAACGCGGCATCTGCACCCGTCAGCCGTCGATGCCCCTCTCCTCATAGCCAGGCTCTAGCACACATCTTCTATTCTCAAAGCGTCGGGCGATGGGCGGCTGAGTCTCCGTCCCGATCCTGTGATCGGTATAGCCCTATAGACTCGGCATCCTCGTGGGGAAATAGGAGCTCATGGCAGGGATAGCTGGTGGTGAGTTCTCAATATTGTATGTGTATATTAAAGACAGACTTTCTACTTCAGACGATGCTATAAACCCCCAGTGAACGTTGATTTAAATTTGTCACTCGGGATTTCACTTTTCCTCGCCTCACATTATCTTTCAATTTCCGCGATGTCGCCTCAGAGCTCCTCTAGACTTTGGCAGACAGACACAGAGTCCGCCGTTGTCGATGCAAACTCTACATTTCGACCCCTTCCGGCCTCGTGGTATTCCTCGCAAGATATGTATGAACTCGAACGCCGCGCCATCTTCTCTCGGAAATGGCTTCTTACGACACACAAGTCGCGGTTTCCCAAAACTGGAGACTGGCTGCAGTACAACATCTGCGGGTACGCCTTTATTCTGGTGAAAGACCGCGAGGGAGATATCAATGCATTTCATAATGTCTGCCGACATCGTGCATTCCCGGTGGTTACTGAAGACGGTGGCACGTCTAGGATTTTCTCTTGTCAGTATCACGGATGGTCCTACGGACTCAACGGCAAACTCGCCAAGGCACCGGGTTATCAGGATTTAGATGGCTTTGACAAGAGCAAGAACGGTCTTCTGCCAATCCATATTCACATCGATATCAATGGCTTCATCTGGGTCAATTTAGATGCCGGTGAAAAGCCCGAGATCTCGTGGGAGAATGACTCCAACGAAACAGACCTAATGCCATCGTTTAAGAGTCTTGAGCTTGACGACTATAGGTTTGACCATGCGGGGGAACTCAGTGGGGAGTATAACTGGAAGATATTGGCAGATATCTACCATAGTCGCTATCATCCTGGCATCTGCGACAAGGTGGAAGATAACAGCATTTTTCACAATGCCAACTCCACTCCGGAGAAGATTGTCAACGGTCTGAAGGTTACAAGCACCTACTGCTTCCCGAATATTTTGATGACTGTCTCGTAAGTTATTCACTCGGCCCATCCAACGGATGCTAACTATAGATGCAGGTCGCATTTCTTCTTTATACAGCGATTTGTGCCTACCGGTCCCATCACATGCTCAACACGCTATGAAGTCTTTCGCCACACGATGTCCACCGATGATGACTTTGAAATAATCAAGCAAACATTGAAAAGTATCATGTCGGAGGGCAAAGATGATTGTATTACAGCGCAGCAAAGCCTCAAGGCTGAAGCGTCTGTAACTATCCAGCCTCACCCTAAGGAGAATGGACGGTTTCAATTCCAGAATGTCGTGCGTGAGCTGATCATGGCGCACCATGAGCGGGAAGAGGAAGCAGGGGAGGAATTCTGGCCTGCGCGACAAAGACTCCCCGCAGAAGAGGAAGCGGGAGTCAGTAAAGAGGACATGGCCTTCTGCTCCAAGGTCATAAGCAAGGATGGCTCGTCTGGGATTTCGGGTGGATGCTGTGGAGGAGGGTGTGGAGGTGGACCGCCAACAAAACCAGCAACTGCACCTGAGACTATGGTGTGTTAGAAGCATGCTACAGAGTACTCCGTACATAGCCCTGGAGAGCTTCTTATTTCCCATGTCATTTTCTTCTATTTTACCTGGGTAGTTGGTTTTTATTTTGCATTTAAGGTGTTTTATGACATCGTGTATTCATCGACGAACCTCGCCGTAAGCCATCACAAGCCCTCGGAGGACCTCAAACAACCACCTAGATACCTACATATAAAAATCATAAGATTATCTGTTTGGGGCCTTGATCTAGTCTCAATCGAATCATTATTCCAAGGCTCTCGATACCTAATACGGGGATGTTTAGGACGTGCATATGCCGTATTTGAGCTCAGCTTAGCAACAGGATAATATAACCTTTTCAGGCACATGTCTCCGGCGAGTACAGCCACATAAAAAGCACCAAAAAGCACCAAATGGCAACAAATGGCAACGAATAGCAATAAAGCACCCCAAAGCACTAACAAAAGGTCCATCCGAAGTCGGCAGAGAGATGAGGGGAAACACCCCCCACAAAAACATCCCCCCCCTTTCTCCGTCTCATCTCGATTCTCATATTTGCCTCTTCTCACTGCCTTTGTCTTTGGATTGGAGTGTCAGTCCGATTAATTCTCCCGCTCGCAATACCCTTCTTTCTAATTTGCCATGACTATCTCAACTAATAGCTGGCTGCTTCGGTCAACATCCCGCAGTTAAATTCCGATACCGTGCTTCTCTTCTCCGATTTCCATTTATCTCAATCGTCAGGATGCCACGAGAGTCTGGTCGTGGGAGGCTGCGTTCACATGAGGCCTGCCTCAATTGCAGGTAAGATGACAGGCCATACAGCCACCCGGACCTGAGCCTGATGTCATACAGGAGAAAGAAGACCCGATGTCCAGCTGAGAAGCCATCCTGCTCCAGCTGTGTTCGCCTGAACCAGTCCTGCCTTTATACTTCGGTACCGAGAGGGTCGCGAGGAGGGCAGTCGGTATGTATTCGCTCTACATCTACGGCGGTTGATGGCCAACCATTAACTTTTTCTTCTTTTCATTTCCCTTCTATAGGATGATAGGCTGGCATTCCTCGAAGAGAAAGTAAATCTCATCTTGAGTGGCACTAGACCAACTCATAACATTCGATGTGAATTGCCGGAGACTGTCAATGGCATTTCAGATACATCCTACCCTGCAACACGTCCACCATCCATCGAGCCGATAAGCACCGTCAATGACCCATTCTTCCTGGGACTTGGGTTCGAAGACTTGAATTCCCATCCCTCATCATCAGCCATCGCTAAAGCTATCGATCTTTATTTCGAATATTGCCATCGACAACCGATATGGTGCTTGGAGCGCGAAGAAGTGTTGGACCCAAGTTATCTGTCGGAGGAGCTCGTTTGTTGCCTACTCGCCTTGACCTCCCGATTTTCGAGAGATCGCGATCATTTACAACATTATGCGGATAGCGCAAGGAGTTTGATCATGCTTCGAATGGCTAACGGTACGGTGGAACTAGAAACCATCGAAAGTCTTTGTCTACTCTCATACTCCTCATTTCTAGGTATGAACGTCAGACAGAATAGCAAAACATTACGCACTTCCCATGCTGATGTGATTCTAGATGGAAATATACACCTTGGTCGCTTTTACCTTGGCCAGGCGTTGCATCTTTGTCGGTCAGCAACGCTGGATATCGAATCGAGTTATATCGGCGAAGGTCCCAAGGCGGAGCGAAAGAAGCGTCTCTTCTGGAGTCTTCAATGTCTCGAGCAGACTTACGGGCAGCAGAACGGATTCCTCTGTATTCCATCGGAGCTCCTGCGCGTGTTCTATATTTCCCCAAGCAGCGACCGGACAACCCCCGAGGGGGCTGAGCCGAGACCTCCACCGCTACCGACGGATGATCTTGGTTGCTCAGAATCCTCCGACTTGGGAATCTGGAGTCTGGCAGCCCATTTTGGTTGGATCTGGAGCAGGGTCCGAATGTATGTCTCCGAATGTGCTCAGAACAGACTCAAAGAACCCTGGCGACACGATTCGATGTACGCCATGGTACTCTCCGACCTTACAGAGATCGAGAACAAACTTTCCCAGTGTCATCGATATGACTCAGTCAAGTTCTATGAGCGAACAGCAGATGAGCTGAGAATGAGCCGGACTTACTGGACCCCGTGGCTAAAGCTGCAATTCACGTATCATTCCATTCTGACTGTTTTGAACCATCCCTTCCTCTACATTGTGGCATCACAATACAACGATAATCTGGCCATCCCAAACACTTTTTGGAGACGATCATCCGAATTGGTTCTTTTACATGCTACCTGGCTTGTCCGCATGATAGATATGGTGACGGAAAAGAAGATGCGATTGATCGATCCATTCTTCGGACACGCGGCCGCCATTGCCGCTACAGTGCATCTGTATTATTGTTGTGCGGCAGACACTCGGCTGAAGTACAAGTCCAAAGTTGATTTCACCAAATGCAGAAGATTTCTCAAGAGCTTTGTGTCATTTTCGCCTGCTTGTGGGATTTTGGTGCGTCTTGTGGAAACAAAAGGAGTCCCCCAACACTAACAGGGCTGCAGGACCATACACTAGATAAAATGACTCGCATTGCATCTGGTTCAGAGAACATCGACGATGATTGGGAACCCGAGAAGATCCATCTCAGTATTCCGCTAATGTGGGACGTTCTTCAGGTCAACTGTAAACCCAAGCCACACGAAGTGTCCACGGGTGGTTTACTACATCCGTCATTGACTCCAACTGTCCGTACAGAAGAGGCAGAGGATAGCCCGGCTTCCACCTTAGAGATCATTGTTGCAATGTCCCCAAATATCACGGTGAACACCGCAGATGGCGGTCTAGCCGCCCACATGCCACCCACCATGCCGCGCATATCTTCTGCGCCCACTTCTTCCGATTTGAGCCCTAGTGAGAAACTCGTTGCTCCCGCCGACAGCCTCATGACCAATACGCCCTGGCTATGGGCCGATCCCTCACAGTTTCTTGATCTGGAGAACAATGTGGGATACCCAGATTCAGAATCCGGCCTCGGCAACGTTGACGGATTTTCGACTTGGTGGGATTTTGGTAACTTATAGAACCAATATTTTCATTGACTGCTACCGCGGCTTTACTGTCTTCCCGGGCCGTAACTCCTGCTCTAATCTCCAGTGCTCTTCACCCAAAGCCCCTATGCGAAATGGCCCCTTGCACAAACGCCCCTAACAGACTTCAGATGGAAGCTTACGGAGTACTGCCCCTGCATTTCCGATCAACCTATGCCGGGACCGTCTTCAGCTTCTCCTGCAAGGCGGCAAAATTCCGTCTCATGGCGAGTTCGGTAAACTGAGCCCCAGTCACCATCGGATATTTCTTCAACGGCCCCTGAATCAAAGAATCTTTGCACGGTTGATTGAAGTAAGCCATGCTGTATCGATTGCCAAAATAGTCACCAGGCTCACAAGGCGCCTTGACACGATGAAAGGTTGACTTGAATCGGTCATCCGACCATGACATCAGTAAGTCGCCAATGTTGCACACGATCTCTCCGGTCTTCGCCTCCATCTTGGTCCATTCGTCCCCAATGCCGAATTCGGTCACCACCTCGCGCCCAGGGCAGATTTCTAGCCCACTCTGTCCTTCCTTTTGGAACAATAAAGTCAGAAACCCCCAGTCGGCATGTGGCCCTGCGCGATGATACACCTTCCCATCGGGGACCTCCGGCAACGCAAAGTAATGAAGTAGACGCATAGTAGTTTGCGAGTTCGGCCTGGAGATGCCATGACAGTCGATGAAGAATCTCTCCGGAAATCCCAGTCCCTGTGCGAAGCATCGCATTAAACATTCAGACACCTGTTGTACGCGGTTCATGAAATCGAGGGAGGTGATTTGGAACCCCGGCAGATCGTCGTACTTGAGCCAGAAATCATTCATATTGTCGCCAAACTGCATTTGATAGGATTCCTTGTGATCGGGTTGCCCGGTGGACGGCCGAATCTGCGAGTTCTTTTCCCAGCCCACGTTGTTTGGGTTCCATGCTACAGTGGCTTTGACCTCGTCAGGTAGATTGAAGAAGTGTTTGGACATGGCAAACATAGATTCGATGTTTTCTTTGGAGATACCATGATCGACCAAGGTAAAAAATCCGACATCTTCGGCGGCTCGAATCAGCTGGTCGGTGACTTCGTCGATGCGGCCTTCGAAATCATGCATTGAGATGCATGGGATCACTCGGTCGACATATCGTGTTGGAGGTGCCATTTCTTTTAGTTCTGTTACCGGTACAATAGGAGGCAGGGACAGATTCTGACGGTGTAGATGCTAAAACTCGAACGAAATATCTGTAGGCTGTCATACGAGCTTATTGCAACTCGACCTGCATCTTCGGCCGGGGGGCTTCGGCCGAGCTGATACGAAGGGGTATTGAGACCTACAGGTGTGGGGCTCAGAGAGAGAGGGAGAGAGTTGTATTGGGAAAGGAGACTCGGCTGCCGACTATCTTATGTAGCTACATAGGTAGGTAGGTAGGTAGGTAGCTACCTATCTGGTGGGGTGATGCCTGACCATCACGGGACCCGGTCTTAACAAGGGGCTCGAGAGTTACGCTCGGAGAACAAGACTATAAATCCCAGCATTTCAGGTCGAAGATCCTAAGCTTGATTGGGGAGTCTGTAGAAGAGGCTTACTCTCGATATAGAATGGATAAACAAGGTGAATGGCTCTCACAGCCTACCGATTTCAACTCCAAACATCAAGTATGCACAGGACTAAGTGGCAATGCGTGTGAAAAGTGCCATTCAGCACTTATTGATGCCAAGTCTGATACATTCGAAACCTCCCCAACATAGGCTGACTATCAGGCCTGATGTTTCTCATTCCATACGGAACTCGTGTGAACACTTGGAATGCACGAATCAAGTCAAATGAGACAGGACTCTTCCGCGAAATTGCCTCGTACTTCTTGCATTCGGCCGAATCTCGCAAACACGGGCACATCCTCATTCGGAGAATCCCGTCGAGGAATAAATATAAGATATGCGGTGCGAGCACTAGTTCTATTCTGTCGCAACAATGCGACGATAATTATCGCCTCGACCCTTTGAGTGGCTCAGGAACGACACGATGAAGCCGGTAGAATATGCCGACATGTCCATGTAGGTAGCGTAGGTAGCACTAACCCTGTACTATAAGACCGGTTTCTCGCACCGCTGAGGACCATCTCATCCAACGCCTGGATTCTGAAGGCTTGACTAGACAAGCCGCGAAACTGCATTGTGTAAATCTTCGCCACCCAGCATACTCACCGTAGTAACTACGAGCTACTCTATTCTGGCCATTCTAGCTATGGCCCCATGGACGCAAAATTGCTCTTCGGGCGGTTATTGGACTTGCGTTCCTCATCTCAAGGTTCCAATTTATCTGAATTGGAAACGTGCATATTATGCACTACCTTGCCCACAGAAGCAAGTCCCTCGAGATGAGCGCCCAGTTCTCAATTCCATATTTACTTACCAGACATTCGGGGTCACAGTGAATGTAAACAACGGAGCAGCCCATAATTAAAGACATAGCTCCAAACGAGTGCAGGCCAACGAGTACAGGTCACCCGAAGTCTAGTGACAGAAACAGACCGTAGCCACTTAAAACCCCCTGAACTCAACAAAAATGATCGGAATTCATGATCGTAGAGCGTGGAGGTTCATCGCCGAGGCTGTGCTTGCACCTCATCACAACTCTAGGGCCGCGAAGCTTTGCCAGAGAATGTGCCTACTAAACACACAACGCTCCGACGATGAACCCAATGAATATGCCAGGGTTCGAAATTGTCGCCTCCCTGGCGATCGACAGTAACGAGGGCCTGGATAATATTGGAAGCTCGCCAACCAACTACTGGATTGGATTTCTCTCCCAAATTTTGTTGATCGGCAATGCTTTGCTGGATTCGATCTTGTGTGGCTTCAGGTTGCTTGGGTATCAAATTATGTTCAATCAAATCAATATGTCCAGATCTATATTAAATGTCATATATACACGCAAGAGGATGGGCCAGCGCTTGGTGCCAAAAATGCGGATGATGCGTTTGTACAATCGCGAAAAACGAGAACAAATGGGAGGTTGACAAGATTGGCCCAGGAACACCAAAAGAAACCAATCGTCAAGACACCACTTCACTCAGTCTTGCGCACCTGGGTCACTGGTGCCCGGTATACTCGGCGGCCATGCACTATATATGAGATAATGGCGAAAATAACCACAGCTCCAAAGACTAGAATGGACCAATTCATATCCACCGGGGTCGGGTTATTGGCAGTTGGGAAAAAGGTGAAGATGATCGCGAAGCAAAGCCAAGCCAGAGAGAAAACATTGAGCGGCAGGCCCAACGCACCAAGCGAAAAGCGCGACGGGGGATACCACCCGGTTGGAAACGAACCCGAATGATGGCTGCAATTGGCAAGATGTATGTGGTGAAAAGGGCGGCGATCATCACAGATGCGACGGCATTGAACGCCGCGGTCGACCCGATATTGATCAAGCTCAGCAGAATAGTAATGATGGTTGATACCAACACGGAGCAGACGGGGACCTGGGTGCGTCGATTAACATGCGCCAGATGTTTAGAGAAGGGCAGGGCATCATCTCGGGCGAAAGCAAAGGTCTGACGAGAGACTGTCGCGAGGATGCCGATAGCGCTGCAGACCTCGAGAACAAGAATGATAGCAGCGACTCCATTGGTGGCCGCCACGGAGCCGGTCGCATGGTTGACTGCGGGGATAAAGGAGAATCCACTCGCCGGTGAGAGCACTTCACTCATGTCGCCCATGTTGTAGAGCAATGTGATTAGCATGATGAAACCGAGGCCGCCGTTAATCAACGCCGTCGAAACCATACACCATGGTACAACCAAGGCAGCATTCTGGACCTCCTCAGCTACGAGATGTTAGCTAGATGCACTCGCCAGAATCGAGGTAGATTACTCACACATGTGGGTGGCGGCGTCCGGGCCAGTCCAAGAGAAAATAGGAGTCAGTTGGCCCACCAGACAGGCGAGGCCCATGCTCGGCCATCCGCCGGAGTTTGTGAACTCCTTCCAGACAGTCTCTCCGGAGGCCTGTCCTGGAGACATGACCCACATCGGGACAAGAACAGCAATGAATCCAAAGATGTGGATGGCAAGGATGACACCTTCCAGAGGAGGCAAGATTTTGTAGCCCCAGGTGTTGACCACAGTTCCCACGGCGGCGATGGCGATGGTCAGCAAGGTACCATGCCAGCGTTCAAACCCATACACCCACCCGGAGGGATCCGAGTAGTTGAAGACTAATAGTCCCTGGATTAGGGTACCGCAGAGGTAGCAGATACTGGCGAAAGCAGCCTGCCAGCCCAGCACCGAAAGCCATCCTAAAACCGATTAACATTTTAATTTGTCGGGTTTGGAGATGTCGACCAACCGGTGAGATAGCTCAAGAACCGTTGGTATTTCGGCCAAGCGAATTCACTCACCCAATGGTACTGTCCACCGGATGTTGGGGAGCTGGCCAACCGTCAATCTCCCATTGTCCAAATATGAGAACGATTCGACCTACATAGACGCGATCTCGGCCATTGAAATCACAGCGGAAAAAAATCCCACAAATGAGGCGATGTAGACATAGATCATGCCAGCCCGACCGCCGTCGATCAGGCCGTATGTACTCGTGCTGCGCGTACTCCATTATTCTCGATGTCCGGTCTCGCGGTCGCGCGTCGCCACTCACAGCAAAATCGACTCCCATGTGGCCATCAAGGTGGTCGTAAACCCTAAGATCGAATAGAACCGGAAGTTCCTCTGCGGAAGATGATCAGCCTTCGTCCAAATTGCGCATTGTTCCACTCACCTTGAGCTGTTGGGTCTTTCCCAGGCGCTGCATATCCCAGTCATCCTGGGCGGTCGCGTCAATGGCAACCTCCTGGGGCAACATCTCCTTATCGAGACTTCTATTCATGATTCAGCAAAGCAAGAGAGAGAAAAAGAACTGGAGTGTCAAAGGGGGGAAGAGAGAGGCATTGGTGGAGAAGAAGGTTATTTTTTTGGTATTTTCTTTTCGCTTGTAACAACGCTACTGCACCTTTTTTTAATTAACGTGCTTTGTGCAGGAGATGATCTGCACAATTCATGACTAGTCTAGGCTAAATCACGCAGTATATCGAAGTCCATCGGAACATTATCCATGGGAATCTATACCTGCACATGTATGGGGTGATACCCCGGATGCCTCTGTACATTATCCGGGGCGGGGGCCTTTTCCGCGCCGAACAAACAACAAGAACATGCCTCCACTCCCAACGTCAGGGCCCAAACCCACGATATGACGAGCAGATCATGACAGGGGTACTCCGTACGAGGGAGCTGATTGGCGACTGGTCCCCACCAAGAACCGGTTTCTTCAGTCCCGCACCATCCGCGGTCAAAGAGCCATGTGTCTCATATTCCATGTCGCGAACCGGGATTCCGGCATACTCTGTACAGAGTACTCCGTATAAGGATGCGCGCTATGGGGATCCGAATGCCCAGAGTACGAAGTATGGACTTCATGATACCTTGTACAGGGCTCAAGTAGGGTCTATAACCCCCATGGCAGTACTCCGTAGAACACACACCGGTGCTTCGCATGCGTAAGATCAGCAGACTATTGTGGGATCCACCAATAATTGTGCCTACAACGTACAACATACCAAGTTCGGCTCCTATTTACCCCGGTCCTGAAGCCAAGAATCATACAATTGGTTTCAAAGTACTCCGTACGGAGTACGAAATACATACAACATAGTACTTCTATCCCGTGTCTCCCAGTTCTAGGCCCGATTTGTCTCCGGTTTTCCCGAAATCTTCAGACTTGCCTCGAATTCCAAGGCATGAGTCCCCTGGACTTTGTATCTGGCCAATCTCAAGGTCCTGGGATATCCCATAAGAGTACGGAGTACAGAGTACATACAAGGCTCATCTCACCGTGATGCTGAATCGTTCAAACTTGGTGCTCGCAAATCCGACATCCGATACCAGGGCCATCTCCAGGGTTTCAGAAATCAGGAGAGCATTGCTGCATTGGAATAATACGACTACGGTGGCGCTCTCTAGACCGGGTGCCCAGGTGACTGATTAAGCACCGAGCCGGACCTCGGAATAGCACCTAACCTACATGTAGGTACCATTTGGTGAACATAGAGGGAGTACGGAGTACATATGTCCATATCCTTAATATTGAATGTCTTCTACGCCAAGTTGCTGTAGATTCAAGATCGGCTATGCGAGTATGAACAGCACCATAGACAATTCTAAAGTGCATGGGCTGTCAATCTGTAGAACGTGTCCCCGAGCAGATGGCGGGAATCAAGCCCCTTGACTCCCGAGGTCCGTACGTTATGTACCACGGAGTACAGATCCAGCTCTATAATCGGAGGATTGGAGGATCCGTGGCCATGCCTAATTCGACATGGGTGAATGGGACAATGGCCATTCCAATCAAAGAGTACAATCCCAGTAGGGGGTGGATTCTGAAAGAACATCGCAGGACACCGAGACTGAGGACAGAGGCATAGGTCCCTTCATACCATCTATGTTGAAGTGGTGAACGAGCTCTCCATCTCTTGTTAATCCTCAGCATGTTATCTTCCTGCCACATTATTGCACGCAGACTCATCTCTCTTTCGAATGGAGACATTAAGGCCGACCTCCGGAGTTTTCACGCGCGGGTCGGTTTTGAAGAGCAAAAGGTACAAGGCAGAGAATAGGACATAAATCCCATCCTGGGGCATGTCAGACCTTCGCATACCCCATATCATACCCCATACCATACCCCATATCGCTGGTTCTCCCGTCTCTCCTTGGTCTCTCCTTGGTCGGTCCCCGGCCTCAGGAGTCAGGAGTCAGGAGTCAGGAGTCAGGATCAATCGAAGGAACTGCCACCCGTCACCGCCCTCATCCGAACTCCGATGACGACGCGTGGGTCAGTGGCGTTGCGGTTCCTTTCGAGAAAATCATCGAGTCCGCCTACTCCGTACACACTGAATAGTTCATGGGGTTTGCTCCAACCATGAGGCACTTACAGCCAGGTTTCCCTTCCATCACTTGTTATGGACGGTGATTGGTGTAGACGCGCAATACTCGAGATAATTCTGACCCACGGAGAGCTTGGCGGTCCAAGATATTTGGATGGGAATGTCGCCAGCTACCGAATCAGCATACGCGTGCACCCTCAGTTCCACTATTCGTGGAGCCAAGGCCGGACGGTTCCTCCCAGCAAGGAGTCTCTCGGATAGACGGCGGAAAATTGGAGACCCGTTCAGGAGGATGTGAGATAAAATCATGCCGGGGCAGCCCCTGCCTCCGGTGCGAATCGTTCTACCTGTCACTTTGCTCGAATCCCTGGCTTCATCCGCGATGCGCCAATGTTCATGGGGTCTTCTTCTGGCGTGCTTCGCTTGAGATCCTGGCTTCGCAGTGGTCGTCTACACACCTCCTTGTCCTTCCGATGGATCTTTTGGATTCTTGCCGTCATTGGAGGCCTTTCTGTGTTCTACGTATTTGCCGTCCCACAACTCCTCAGGTTCCGATTTCGCGCCGGCTTGACCTGGTATGATCTGGGAGCTCAAGGGTTTGGTCCAGATCAAAAGTATTCCTCATTCGATCAGGAGTCACCGATCGTCGAAATCACTCCGCCTGGCGCAAAATGCGACCCGCGATACACCTTTCTCGCGCCTCGGGGTGATTCAGTTGCCCATCCGGGGCCGATGATCTTGAACTCCGCTGGTGAACTTGTATGGACGCAATGGAATCCGGGCACAACACAAGACTTCAAATTGCAGCGGTACAAGGGCGAGGATTATCTCACCTACTGGCAAGGATCTATGTCCGACGGATATGGACGAGGATCATGGTATATGGTGGGTTATCAATTAGGCTAGTGTTCTGCAATGATGGGGTGCTAATTTATTTTGTGCAATCGCAGCTCGACTCAACCTATACTCAAAAGTATGTGGTATCTCCTATAGGAATATATGACGGCGACCTGCATGATTTCCAGATCACTTCCAACAACACCGCTCTGCTGATGATTTACGACCCCATACCGATGGATTTAAGCTCGATCGGTGGCCCCAAACTAGGATGGGTGTATGATGGAGTCTTCCAGGAAGTCAACATCGAAACAGGGGAACTGCTGTTCCAGTGGCGCGCATCCGAATTTTACGCTCTAGCGGATAGTTATATTCCAGTGGGGGAGGCCGGCCAGAGACGAACCAAGGCATATGATCATTCACACATCAACAGTGTGGACAAAGATGATCAGGGCCGGTATCTGGTTTCGATGCGCCATCTCCATACCGTTGCCTGCATAGATGGCACCACCGGGAAACTCCTCTGGTCTCTTGGAGGAAAGCGGAACAGTTTTACCGATGCTTCGGGCGGAGCTGCCACTGGTTTTTCATGGCAGCATGACGCTCGCTGGCAAGGATCTAATCGCCTCAGCTTGTTCGACAATGCGGCCCACAATAACGATAATCTCTCCGCAGTGAGCCGCGGTATGCTGGTTGATCTGGACATGGGAGCGTGGACGGCAACATTGTCCCAATCCTTCAATCATCCGCACGACATGATGGCCGTGTCTCAAGGCAATATGCAGCTATTAGACACAGGGAACGTGCTCGTGGGCTGGGGTCACTCTGCAGCTTTCACGGAGTTCTCCCCAGAGGGCAATGTTTTGTGCAATACACACTTTGGTGCCTCGGCTTTCTTCACGTTCGGTCGTGTCGTCTCCTATCGAGTCTTCAAGTTCGACTGGGTCGGCCATCCTCTCACAACCCCAGATTCGGCGCTCACACCCGAGAGTGTTTTCGTTAGCTGGAACGGTGCTACTGAGGTAGCAGGATGGCGAGTTGAGGCATGGGATGGCCACGATATCAGAAATATGACCTTCACTGCTGTCGACCAGGTCCCGCGTGACGGTTTTGAGACTGAAATCCGCTTGACCTCAGAAGTGAACTCGTTCTTCCGCGTGCGGGCAATCAACTCAGACGGAGACAGTCTCGGAGTGACTGATCTACTCCAACGACCGCCAGAGTCATCGTCGAGTGGCTCTTCCCATATGAACCCATGGGCTGTAGGGGTCATTGTATTGGTGGTGCTTGTTTGTCTTGTTAGCGGTGTTTATTTTGCTGTTCACCGTCGTCTTCGCCAGAGACCGAGCTTCAGTGGCCCCTATCAATTGGTGTCGCACAAAGATGAGGACGAGGGCGACGATGAGCGTGATCGTCTACCATTATAGGATGCCGGTGTCCTGGACGGCCTTTCCACATGTATATATATAGTCGGGTCTGTACACATTTCCTAATTAGATCCTGCTTATTGCATATTTCTTGATACCTTTTTGGTGTGGTAGACCATAAATTTGCTCGTCATCTGAATCCCAAAGGGAATGATCTCGTCTCTTCTCGGATCACAACTCTTTCTACGTGTCTTGCAGCCACTTCATTGTGTTGTTAGTGTGACTGCACTAAGAGACATGCCGAGGGCTTCAGCCCCAGTTCCCCATTATGACCGGGACGGGTTTGAGACTGTATATACATACTTGACCTAATCTCAAAGAGGGTTTTTGGTTTCGACCCGTTTTTAGCGAAATGACATCAATGATAACGGAGACCGAATTCCAAAAAAGAAATAAAAAAGAATTGTACTCCGATAGGGGGAATCGAACCCCCGGCTGCCGTGTGAGAGACGGCGATGTTAGCCACTACACCATATCGGAGGGGGACTGGGAATTAACCTCTTAGGTTTTATCTTAACCCCTTAGGTTTAGCGCTCTTTATTCTTATGCCTCCCCGTGCGTGGTTCTATATAGTCCCCTAGTCTTTCCCCCTTTATCCAATAGCCCTAATTTTCTTTTTCGCCTTCGTCCTCCTACGCCTTATAGGTAAGGCATTTTTGCTATTAACCCGGATTACCGAGCTCCTAAGCTCCGCTACCCCCTTTTCTGTATCTAACTCGTCGGCTCTTCTATAACCCCGCGTCAGTAATTCGACCTACCCTCTCTCCTCTAGCCTTAGTTTCCTTCTTAGGCCCGACTATAGCGTTAGGTATGAATCGGCTAACCTATATTTAGCCTCTATATATATAGGCGATTCTCCTTATACTCTTTTAGGATAATTATCCTTACGTAGCGTGTTAGGACCGGCGTGCTAGCGGGTCCTAGCAGGTAATATAGAACTAGAGTGAAGGAATAGCAGGGTGCTAGTATATTCATAAACTAATCGCTAAAGAGCTAAGTTCCCCTAGTAGTCTCTATATAGATAACCTTTAGCGGGTCACGGGACTAGGTCACCTAACCCGGTAGGACTTAGTCTTCCTAGTATAGTCTCTAGCGGGGGGTCGTGCTACCCCTACTAGGTCACGGGTTCTGGGTCATAGGACCAGGCGGGATCCAGCCTATGAGGCACTCTCCTAGTAGAGGGTCGTAATATTTTCCCCCTCCTTAAAGAGCTACGTCCCTATAGCTAAGGTCGGGGGTCGAGGGTCTCTTATAGTCGAGATAGGGAGGGTTTGAAAATAGTATATATATCTAGCTATCTAAAAGAGGGTAATTTATCTTTATAGTAGAAGGTGTAGATAGACTCGGAGCTTTAAGCGTTATCTCTCTTCGTCGCGTATAATCTAAGTTCTTTATATATTTTTTACTTATCTCTCTTCGAGTTATAGCTTTCTTCTTCCTATATTTCCTCGTCCTTTCGCTTTTTCTTCTTATAGCTTTTCGTCGTCTCGCTTTTCTTACTATAGGTTATTTCGACTTATTATAGTAGCTCCCTTTCCTCCGGTCGCGAGTGCGATATATACCTCTATTAATAATTACACCCCTCTAGCTATTATCTCCCCTACTAACTCTATAAGTACGTAGTATTAGCGTTATATAGACCGTCTTAGATATAACCTAGGGTATATATATATCCCTCCGCCTAGTAGGATTAACGTTAATACTCCTCGGTATAACTATTATATAAGGAAACGGTAGTCTTATATAATAGTAAGTATAGACCTCCGCTTATATTAGCGGTTATTAACGTTCCTTAGATTAATTCTAGGCTCGATACTTAAGCTAATACTTATATCTTAGCGCCTTATACTACCCCCGCGTAGAATATATCGTTCCTTACGATTATATAGAGGTTTCGAGATACGCGGAATACTTTAACTCGAGATATCTATATAAGTATAGTTATATCTTTCGGTCCTCCTCGCGCTATACCCTTTTTACCTCCCCCCCCCCCCCCTCCGCCCCCTTTAATATAGGTTTTATTAATAAGTCGGGTTATAGGTTAGCTTTAGGCGCCTTCTCGGGCTAGATTACGTATATAGCGGTAAAGATATAAGCGTATTTTAGAGGTTACTCGTCTAGTATAAGTAGTTATTACGTTATACCTTTAGAGAGTATTAGCTATATTACTTTTTATCCTATTTTTCGGCGATAAACTCCTATATATTCTTATTATATATCTATAGTCTTTTTAGGATATTTTTTATCCGCTCTTTATCTTTACTAGTATTCTAGATCCTCCCTTAACCTATCTATAGCGTATACTAGCGTAGCTAGTTATTTTCTAGAGGTCTATTTAGTAGTTAGCTATTAGGTTCGGCGTTCTTAAGCCTACTCTAGTCCTTCTAACCTTCCCGGAATATATCTAGCGGTAGATCCTAGGTTATATTAACTTCTTCTTTATAGATCTTCCTCGGTATATTATACGCTCCGGCCGTTCTTTCTTCTTATTATAGTAGCTCTTAAATACTAATATATCTTCTACGTTTTCTCTTAGCTCCTAAGTATTTTCCTTATACTTATATCCTCTCTATTTAATAAGGTATTTAGCGCCTTTATAGTTATTAGCTAAGATCTTCTCGATCTCTTATTCGGGTTAGTTATCTACTAGTATAAGGTTAGGCCGATCTTAAGCTTTTAGCGGATCTCTATAGTATAGCTCTAGTATTAAAGTATATTATATAGGGTAGATCTTATAGTATCTTAGCGTAAGGATTAGCTAGTATACCTATTATCCTACCGTATCTACTATTATAAAGGGTCCTATATAGCGGTTATCTAGCTTTTTATATAGTCGTCCTAAATTAATATACTTATTTCTTAGTATAATTTATTATCTAATTACGAAAGACTTCTTTATATATTTCCTATCGTAGGCTCGTTTTATTATAGTTTTCGACTCTTTTAGGTATTTTCTTAGTATTTTTTATATCTTTAGTATTTCCTCTATATAGCTTTTAACGTTATTATAGGTTTCTATCTTCCTATCTAGTACTAATATTCTTAGTTCCGGTTAAAATCCTAATAATACTTCGGCCGGGGATATTCTTAGTATACTATAGGTAGTAATATTATAGATAATTTATATAAAGAGGATCTATCTTATCTAGTTATCTTAGTATTAGCTTATTATATTATATAAGTAATACTTAATACTCTAGTTTTATCTCTTAGTCTACCTATCGGTTTATAGATAATAGGCTATTAATAGTTTATATCTTATAACGAGGAGATAGTAGAAGTAGCTCTAGAATTTTAATATAAAGATAGTATCTTTATTACTAACGAGGTTTTCTAGTATTCCTTATAGAGGTATAACCTTTTTATAAAATAAGGTTACGAGTTCTAGCGAGTCTATATCCTTAGTATAGGAAATATAAAAAGAGTATTTTAAGAATAGATCGATTACGACTATAATCGCGTTATAGGCCTTCCCCTCCTATTTTAAAGGTAGTAGGCCTATAATAAAGTCTACACTTATCTACTAGCCTAATCTTTTTAGTACTAGTAGTAGTTTAAGTAGTCTATATAGCTTATAGTATTTAATAGTATTAGACTAATAAATCTAGTATATAAAGATATAGTCTTATATATTCTTAATAAGGGTTTTCTATTAGTATTTACGTTTAATAGCCTATAGCGTTCTTTTCTTTATATAATAGCCCGCTTATAGATCGTTATAGTAGATTCTTATAATTTCTTAGTAGATTATAGGTTCGCCTTTAGGAATATAGATATAGTTATTATATCTTAATAGTCTATCCTAGCTCTTTACACTCTATTATATCTTCGGGGGTTATTTAAAGTCGCCGGTTTCCTATACTCTTCTAAGCGTATTCCTATAGAACTTATTCTTCGCCTATATCTTAAGTATAAGTTCTACTATAGTTTCTAGCGGCTTATAGGTATATACGGTTTCTCTTTTAGCTACTTCGCGTACCTCCTTTCGACTTAGTAGTCTATTTATCGTAGGCTTAATAGGGATCTCTATACGTATTATAGTTATTATAGCGCTTAGGTATATTATATTCTATAGATCCCTTTAGTAAATAGCGCCTTTATTAATAGTCTTCTTAAGTCTTTATATAAAGATATTATAACTCGTAGCGTCTAAAGACTTATCTACTATATAATTAGGTCGTCTACTAAAAGCGTCTATAGGGTTCGTTTTCCCTAAGTAGAATATAATAATAAAGTTAAAACCTATAAGGTATTCTATCTAGTATACCTAGTATCTTATAAGCTTCTTAGTTATTATAAATTAGATAAGATTAACGTAATCTGTTATTATTATAATTAAGTACTTATTTCCTTTAAAGAAGTAGCGCTATTTCTTAAACCTTATAAAGATTATTAGTATTTCCTAGTTACTAATCTAGTAATTTCTCTCTATTATTAGTATCTTCTAGGAATAGAAGGCGATAGGGTACTAATATCTATCTTTATAGAGCTATAATATAATTATATAGATAGCGGCTCCTAACGTATCCGTTTCTATTATAGTTTTTAATATAGTATTAAAATATATAAGTATCGGTATAGTTTAGAAAGCGGTCTTAGTCCTTTTAAAAGTTTCTCGCGCTTCTTCTATAAAAACGAACCCTTTTTAGCGCTTATTTCTTCCTTTCTTTTATATATCTAGCCCCTTAATTAGATCGTTAAGGGGGGCGCTAATTATCGACTATTTCCTAATAAAATATTAGTAGAAGTTAGTAAAGCCTATAAATTATTATATATCGAAGATATAAGTCGGTTTTAGCTACTAGCTTATTATCTCTACTTAGGTAGAGTCTATAATAACTCTATAATAGGAGATAATAAAGCCTAAGAAGTCGACCTTTTCTATATAGAACGTATACTTACTAAGTTTAATAAATAACCTTTACTTAATTAGACGTTCTAATACTTCTCGGACGTAGTATATATAGGTCTCTTTATCCTTTAAGAAGATTAGTATATTA